TAAAAACTGTAGTGAAGACTTGATGGGAGGTCTTTTTCAGTTTTTTTCTTTGGGAATAGGATGAGTTGGAATGGTGCCAATAGGGTGGGGAAGAGAAGAGACACAAAGGGGTGGAGTCTGTAAAAGAAATCTCTTCACAATCTCTCCACAACCTTTTCACAAGCCTCTTCACAACCTTTCACAACCCCCATTTCTTCATTTCTTCATCCACCATTTTGCAATTTCATTCTTTTTAAATATTATAAATATTATTTATTCTATTAACTATCGATTACAGTATTCAAATTTTAAATAAACAAGCTGTAGTCTTCAAGACTTCCTAGCAACTAGATTTGTCAGCTAAATCAGAGCAGACAAAGCCAGAGAAGCCAGAGAAGCCAGAGAAGCCAGATCTCAGCCTACAGCATTGCTTTTTAAAATCTATTACTTGTCAAATCGAATTCTCAATCGATTTGCTACCATTTGTTGTCTTTTTTCCAAATCTCGAATGGTTTTTGGGTATCTGTGGTGAGCGATGGTGCCAGGCGTTTGGTTATGGGAAAAGGGGAGAGAAAGAGAACCAATCCAGCTGTCCCCCATCCCATTCTCTGCCAGCTTCTCCATTTCTACAGCTTTAATCAATAGCCATCCATTCCATTCGCATAAATTTCCCTTCCTCGTCTCCATGCAAATTGATTTCTTCTTTTTCTTCTTCTAAAGCTTTTTGAGCTTCTAAAACTCTGCGTTCTCTATTTGTAGATCTAATGCTTTAGTTTTGAAAGATAGAAGCGCTCTAGTTTATGTAACTTAGTTTACTAGTTTACTAGATTACTAGATTACTAGATTATTAGTTGACTAGATTACTAGATTACTAGATTATTAGTTGACTAGATTACTAGTTGACTAGTTGACTAGATTACTAGTTGACTAGTTGACTAGTTGACTAGTTGACTAGATTACTAGATTACTAGATTACTAGATTACTAGATTACTAGATTACTAGAATTACTAGATTACTAGTTGACTAGATTACTAGATTACTAGTTGACTAGATTACTAGATTACCAGTTGACTAGATTACTAGATTACTAGATTACTAGATTACTAGATTACTAGATTACTAGATTATTAGTTGACTAGATTACTAGTTGACTAGTTGACTAGTTGACTAGATTACTAGATTACTAGATTACTAGTTTACTAGGTTACTAGATTACTAGATTACTAGTTTACTAGTTTACTAGATTACTAGATTACTAGATTACTAGATTACTAGATTACTAGTTTACTAGATTACTAGCTTTAGAAGAAGCTTTTTAGTACAGTAATCCATTTCGAATCCATTATTGTACTCTAAAGCTTTTCAGTGATGCTTTCTAATAGATTTCTGAAAAAGCTTACTATAGTTTAAGTTTAAAAATAGCACAATATAGTACTTCATTGGTTAAAAGGTTAAAGAAAATCCAGACCTAAGTCCAGACCTAAGTCCAGACCTAAGTCAAACTCTTGGCTTTGGCCTAGCCTAGCCTAGTTAGCTTTTAGTTTTATGGATTTCAGAAAAGATTTCTGAAATCGTATCTCCATTTCCATGTCCATCACCGATTTCCCTCTTGTCATTCCCTTTTTGATTGAAGAGCCCAATAACTCTTTCCCCTTTCCCTTCATAAATCGAGGCTGAGAGAAAAGCCAAGAGGCAATCATGCGCCATTTTATTGTTTTTACACGCTCATATCAAAAAAAGAAAGAACAGCAGCCTAATCTCGACTGAACTTGATCACCGTATTTATGGGCAAAATGCGGGAGTGACCTTGAGGAATGATATAATACAATGGTTTATCACAAGGCATGGCCATTAATGAAGCTTGTTTTATAGAAAAATAGAAAGCTACTCTTGAGCTGAGCTAGAGCACAATGATTGTGTTGTAAGAAAAAAGATCAGTTCCTATTCAATTCCTATTCAATTCCTATTCAATTCCTATTCAATTTCTATTCAATTCCATTCCCAATCAACTCAATTTCTCAGTCCTATTCAACTCTTCTACTTACTACTTCTTCGATCTGCTTTCCCCTTTCCATTCCTACTGTATTTGTTGACAGATTTCTGTCAAAACTTTCTGTGTTTCCCCTTTCCCTTGTGAAGCTGTCAATACTTTTACAATACTGATACAAGACCCACCCGAGAGCTGTTTTTTTCACGTTTTTTTCTCATCTCTAAGCCTTTCCCCCCTCAAGTGCTATAAAATTGAAAGAGCCAAGGCCATCGTTTCTTATCGCTTTTGGCTATGATTCTCAATTCTCGAGTCTAAAAAATCTCCTTTCACAACTCTGACCCCGAGAATTCCGTCTTCCGTCGAGAAAAGGATCGAGCCACCGAGTCTCGCACACTATCTATTTGAGAGGGGTTTGTTTTCTCAAAATTTCATTTTTTTTTTCAATTTCATTGACTCTTGAAATGTTACGGTATTTCTTGTCAAGCAAAAGTACAAAAAAACAATCTTGTTACGGTCAAGCAGATCTAGAAACTGTACCCATGCCTGAGCCTGTCCCTAGCTTTGCCAGAACCTGGCCTAAGCCTGTCCCTAGCCTTGCCAGAACCTGGCCTATCCCTGGCCTATCCCTGGCCTTGCCCGGTTCTAGCACAACTCTAGATATTCCTTGAACAGTTCCTAGAAACTCAGGCTATTAGGCTAGTCATTTTTGGCTTTGACTTCCCATCGTTGGACATATTGATCGAGATCTTACCTTTTAGGTCAACCACTCTTCTCCCCTTTTCGGTATCCGATCAGATCTCTTCAACTTTCCTTGTGAACTCTTGACCCCTCCAGTCCTTTCTTTTTGCACTCGATGCCGATCTGTTTACGCGGTGGATTAGAGGAATGGCCTGTTTCATTTGACCAAGCCCGATCGGCTGATCCCCTTTATGCAAATTCCGATTGCTCAATGTGTTTTGAGAAAGAATTGCCGATACTTGGCCATAAATTGGTGGTATCAATTCTTCAAAGTGGTTGTGTTAGCTGTGGAAAACAAGGAATTGTTCTAGAGCTCGCTAAAGGTTTACAAAAGGTACAAAAGGTTTATCTTGCTGGCTTTATCTTGCTAGCTTTATCTTACTAAGAAGTCTACTGTAGTTACCTCAAAAAAAGATATTGTCTTTATTTTCTTGAAAGTACAGTCTTGAAAGTACAGCCTTGTAAGTACAGCCTTGTAAGAGTATTCTTTACTAAGAGCTCAGTATATCGATTTCTTATCCTGTTCTTCCTAGTACAAAAGAAACTCCACTCAAGAAAGGGCAGACAAAGTTCAACTATTCAATCTCGATTCGATAGTCGGCTAACTGATGGGTAACTTGATACTGGCTCTTCTTTTCTCTTGTTCTTTCCCGTTTTTGGGGGTCGGGGTCTGTATTCAAATGGCAAGGAGGGGGAAGGAATGGGCGGAGCTTTCGGGGAGAACACAGAGCTCTCCCCTCTCCCTTCAACCCCAACCCCTCCCCTTCCCAATGTCAGAGAAGGCTGCCCCATTCTCTCCATTCATCCCTTTCCCCATCTCCCCAACCATTTTCGAACAAATCGTCCCTTCTATTCTCCTTTGTTTATGGTTTTCGCCTGTTTTTGAAATCGTGCTTGGGTTTTTATTTTTTTCATCGTTTCAGTGATTTGATGAAAGCTTTAGCACATATTTTCTAATTGTTTTTGTGTATTTTGTGTCTCTAACATCTCAAATGAAAGCTCAAATGAAAGCTTTTTCTCTTGACTGCTTTCAACTTCAATTTTTTGCCTATTTCAAGGCTTTCTCATTCATTACTTTGTCAGTAATCAAGTGTAACTTTTCCTAATGCTTTATGTTATTCCACCAATTCATTTATTTATTTATGTCTTCTCAAGAATTCATCTCCCCGTTTTTCTATTGTTCGCTTCTTCTTCCCCAACCCCGATGGCATTTCCATTTGAAGGCCATTCCCTGGGAAACTCGAGGATCCTTTTCACTGAATTCTAGCATTTTCACCATTTTAGTTAAAGGAAAGTTTGAAAATAACTAAAAAATCAAGCAAAGCCTAGTAAAAAAGCCAGCTCTAGTTCAAGTCTAGTTCTAGTTCATTTCAAGCATTCTAGTTCAAGTCTAGTTCTAGTTCCAGGTCAAATTCTAGCTCTAAAGATCTCTAAAGATCTCTAAAGACCTCTAAAGATCTCTAAAGTTCTCTAAAGTTCTCTAAAGTTCTCTAAAGATCTCTAAAGACCTCTAAAGATCTCTAAAGATCTCTAAAGGCCTCTAAAGATCTCTAAAGGCCTCTAAAGATCTCAAATCTCAAATGCCATAGATTCCAGTTAAACTCTAATCGAAACTACGCTTAAAACATCTAAACGAAACCAGTCGAGGTCAAGTTTTATTCATTTCACATCAGCATTCGATATTCAATTCATTTCCATAACCTATTGTTAGCCTGGACTGGGTATTGGGGATTGACCTTGTGCCCTGTAAGGGATTGAGGGTCATAAGTGGACCAGGGGGATGACCCTTGACACCCGCAAATAGATGCCTGTAAAACCTTGCTCTTTTCAATCCATTCTATAACATTTGCCAGTTTTGCCCTAAGAATATCCAGATGGTCAAAGCTTATGGCGCAATCCATCGCCCTTTTTCACCACAGAAATACAAACCAGCTGTTTTGGCTTTTACATCGATCGACGATGGAAATAGAGTACTTAGGGATTTGAGAGATCTGTTTATACTCATAGCCAGAGATGTACAATTGTTAGAATCTTGTTTATTCAAGCGGTTGACCTGTTTAGCTTAAGGCATTCATCGATTCAAAGGCTTTGATAACAATGAGACGATGAGACACTAGACAAGCCATGACAAAGGTTAAAGGCAAACTTATTGATCATTTTTCCTTTCAATCCATTCCAATTGATCGTTTTTCTTTCATTTCCGTTTGCTATTTCGTTTCTGCAAAGGTCAAGGCGGAATATGAGTAATCTTTTTACAGAAGAGCTCTCTTCTCAACCATCAAATCATCCAAAATGACTCTTTTACCCACATCGCCGACGAAGCGACAAACAAAGTCAACCGCTCGACGATGTCTTTTCGGAAAACCCGATCCAAAACAGGTAAGGAGAAGTGAGAAGTGAAGAAAAGAAAGCTGGATCAAGACTGTAAACTTAGCTTGTAAACTAGCTTCTAACTTAGCTTCTAACTTAGCTTTTAAATTAGCTTCTAAATTAGCTTCTAACTTAGCTTCTAAATTAGCTTTTAAATTAGCTTTTAAGTTAGCTTTTAAACTTAGTTATAAACTTAGCTATTAAGTAAATAGAATTGTCAAACAGTTGTGGCCGGCACTAGTAAATTGGTAAATTACCTAGGTCGAAGAACTGAAGATTAGATTTAAAAATCATCAGACAAATTTCAGACAAATCGCTGGCTAGAGGAACGTTTAAACGAGATTCGACAAGAAAAAGAAGCCAAATGGGGATTCGACTTTGAGAGGGAGATCCTACTTCCGTCATCCTCCACCACCGAATATCAAATCGTGGCCGTCGATCCGGCTACTGTGCCCAATTTCTACCATTGCAAGGTACACAGTAGGCTAAAATCTTTTTTCTATAACTTGTAGCCAAGATTAAACTGTTACTGATCACCAGAATCCTATTGATTTTGTGAACAATAGCAAGAAAAGCAAGAACAATAGCAAGAACAGTAGCAAGAAGGATAGCAAGAACGATAGCAAGAACAATAGCAAGAACAATAGCAAGAACAGTAGCAAGAACGATAGCAAGAACGATAGCAAGAACGATAGCAATTGATTTAGATCCAGAGCTTTGAATTGAAAGAACTGTTTGATATCATTGTTTTGATCATTGATTTTTCAGGTGATCACGCGAAACGTGAAGCCCGTTGAGCCCGGAACACCGGACACGTCACCAGCTGAATCTGAAGAGTCAGACTCCTCCTTTATGGACACATCTGATTGCTCAAGCCTTGCCTCGCCTCTTCCCATCAAGAAACGAAGTGTAAAGACGCCGAAGAGACTTCGGAACAAGCAAAAGAGCAAGATTACAGGTGAGAGATTTAAAAGAATTCTGAAATTCAGAAATTTTGGATTCTATTCTAGCTCAAAGGGGTCATTCTATTAGAGGCTATAACTAGAGAATAACTTGAACTAACATCGATCTAAAGAACAGCTTATCAACCTCAATTTCTAGATTATCTCCGAGTGAAGAAACCGTTGCGGCGAGTCGCTGGGAAGAATGATTTGAGTGATTCGAGAGCTCCTCAACTTCTTTCAATCGCATCCACGTCGGCTCAATCATAAGCATTAAATCTCAAGCTACTGACCGTACTTTGTGCTCTAACAAACGCACGTTTCGGCATCGACTTAGTTAAGCTTTAATACAAGTTAAGTACTGTAGCTTTAATGCAAAAACAACCCTCTCTTAAAGCCTAGCTTAACTTTGAACTCAAAAACTCTCAAGTTTCGGAAGATTTCTGTAAACCAGAGCACTAAATAGCCCTTATTTTTAACGTTAAATAACCCTTACCCACTTTGTCAGATCCTTGCGTTTACAAGAGCACAAAGTACAAGTCAAATCTTTTTTTTTTTTTTTTCAAAGCCTTCCAAAGCCTAGTCTCTTGTGGTCAATCAATTTGTTAGTAATTTTCAGGAATTTTCAAAATCTCCAATTATCCAATTATCCAATTATCCATTTATTCGACCACTCTTTTCATGTACAACCTGTGATATAATAAGTTCCAAGGCGTTAAAAGTCAAAAAGTTTCCCCCAAAAAAAAAGGCATCCAAAACGACTTTTTCCTTTTTGAAATTCTGATCGGGTCAATTTTCAGGGTTTTCTGAAGAAAAGCAAAAAAAATTTCGATTTTCCATTTTCCATTTGAGAGATTTTCGTTTGAAATTTGTTTAAATTAAATGAATTTCAATTAAATAAATTTCAATTTGAATCCTGAAAATAAATCCGAAGCTTTCTTTGGCAATAGCGGTGATTTTGCCGGAAATCTTTTCACTTTTTGGCTGTAGTCAAAAAGTAGTCAAAAAAAAAAAAAAAGAAATTTGCTGATTTCGCTTCAATCTCACCGTAAGTCGCTAATCGATTCTGAATTTTTGTGGTGTTTTTGTTTTTTTCCTCGTTCTTTTATTTGATTTTAAGGTTTTAATGTTTTTCTTTTTGTACAATTGTAGAAGGAATTGACAATTGTAGAAGGAATCGTACTATTGTACAATTGTAGAAGGAATTGTACAATTATACAATTGTAGAAGGAATTGTACAATTATACAATTACTATCGGAATTGTACTATTGTACAATTGTAGAAGGAATTGTACAATTATACAATTGTAGAAGGAATTGTACAATTATACAATTGTAGAAGGAATTGTACAATTATACAATTGTAGAAGGAATTGTACTATTGTACAATTGTAGAAGGAATTGTACAATTATACAATTGTAGAAGGAATTGTACAATTCACAATTGTACAATTGTACAATTCCTATATAAATTTAGTCATTTCAACATCATTTTTTCAAAAACATGTGCAAACTTTTAAGCGTTATTTGTTTTTTTTTTGATTTGAACTTTAATTATGCAAGATTTTTTTCTTCGTTTAGATAAAAATTAACAGTTATAACTTAAATTTAAAACAAAAAACAAACAAAAATTTAAAAATAAATTGCAAAATACAAAAATTTGTATAAGATTTGAAGAAAAAGAAATTTTGGACAAAAGGAAAAATTTGGAGAATTACTTAACTCCCCTCTGGAGGAGGGGTAGGTCAAGTGCCTTGTGGTGTAATGGTTAGCGTTCTTGGCTGGTAGACAAAAGGTCGCAGGTTCGAGTCCTGCCGGCGATAAAATTTTTGATCTGCATCTATTTTCAATCTAGTTTAAAATAATCACAAATCTAACCTAACATTTCAGTTTATTTCAGTTTCAATTTTCAATAAACTTTTCATTATTTAAGTTTACTAAAATTTGATACCGAAGATAAAACCAAAGCTGTTCTTAGAGCTGACAAAAGGAAAAATTTGGAGAATTACTTAACTCCCCTCTGGAGGAGGGGAGGCCAAGTGCCTTGTGGTGTGATGGTTAGCGTTCTTGGCTGGTAGACAAAAGGTCGCAAGTTCGAGTCCTGCCGGCGATAAAGTTTTTGATCTGCATCTATTTTCAATCTAGTTCCAATCTTCCAATCCAATCACAAATCTAACCTAACATTTCAGTTTATTTCAGTTTCAATTTTCAATAAACCTTTGAGTATCAACGCTTATTAAAATTGATATTGCAGATTGATAAAACCAAGATTGAGAAAATTTGAAAAAACCAAAGCTGCCCTTAGAGCTGATTTTTAGGTTAAATCAAGCCAACGAACAGAGCCTGCAATTCTCTACATTATTCGATTTTTTTTTTTAAAAGCATAACCTAAACACATTTTGTTCATCTATCCAAGAACAAGAGATTGAAATTGAAATATTTTTCAACTTTTTTCTCAACTTCAATTTGGTTTTCAAATCCCAATTTTGATGGGGATTTTGATCGATTTTGATTCCATCAATCAACTTTTTTGATTGATTTTTCCAATCTTTTCGACAAGATCAAGAGTTTCGTAGTGGGTTTTTCTTTTTTTGTGTAGAAGAAAACGAGAAATCGAATTGGTATGAAATTGGTTGATTGGTACCGGTCGGTGTCTCGTACAAAATCACAAAGCGAAGAGAGCTGCGCACGCTTTTTTTTTTTTGCATTGACTCCGAGAGATCGTTTCACCACTTTTTTTCAGTCGCCGAAAAGGTCTAAAGTCATAAAAAGACCTTCAACGAGAAAGGGGATTCATTTCTGACTTTATTGCAAAAGACAGAGTGATCTACTTTCAGTTTATAGTTCAGTACAATAGCTACAGTATCTATAGCAGCTACAAGACATTACTCTGTTCCCCTATGACAGCTACAGTACGATCCAGCTTACAGTACACTCTTACATTGGCTACGAGACAGTACGAGTAGCATAGACAGACAGTAGCAAGAGGAGTTGCCTTATTGCCTTTCCAGGTTTGATTTGAGGCCGAAGTTAGATTCCAACGACGTTAGATTACAGTACGATTCAGCTTACAGTACACCCTTACATTGGCTACGAGACAGTACGAGTAGCATAAACAAACTGTAGCAAGAGGAGTTGCCTTATTGCCTTTCCAGGTACCCGACTCTAAGCAATTATAATTTTTACATAGAATGAGCAGCTGAGAAATGGTTCTAGTACAAAAACTCAATCTCGATGACCTTGGTGTCAACTATGCTGACTATGGGGGACATTTTTTGAAAAGAAAAGGCTCACTACCCAGAGACTCAATGTGGCGTTACTCTTATACATTGAAAAAGAATGAATTGATGTTCAGTGAAGTGAAAAGTCGCGCAGAGGCTCACAATTACAAAAATGTTGTTTAATTTTGTGCACACTGAGATTGTATAATGTAAAAGTAGTTTCATAGTGCTTTTAAAGTATCGATTGTAGCTGATGTAGGGATACTGTAGCTGTTGAGGATACTGTAGTCAATGTACTGTAGTCAGTGTACTGTAGCCGTTCTAGAGTATTGTAGCCGTCCGTTCTAGAGTACTGTAGCCGTTCTGGGTACTGTAACCGTTCTAGAGTATTGTAGCCGTTCTAGAGTATTGTAGCCGTCCGTTCTAGAGTACTGTAGCCGTTCTGGAGTACTGTGGTCGTTCTAGGTACTGTAGCCGTTCTAGAGTATTGTAGCCGTTCTAGAGTATTGTAGCCGTCCGTTCTAGAGTACTGTAGCCGTTTTGGAGTACTGTAGTCGCTCTAGGTACTGTAGCCGTTCTAGAGTATTGTAGCCGACCGTTCTAGAGTACTGTAACCAATGTATGGTACCGTAATTAGCTAGGGTACTGAGCTAAAACGCTTAACTAAAGCTTTAGCATTGATTTTGATGAATAGCCTCAAATTTATCTTCTTTTATCAATTTCCCACAGGCAAGTACCCCAAAAATCACTCGAATCGCCGGAGAATCGGGCAAATGTTAATTTAGGAACTCAGGAACATCAAACTTTTCTGTGGAAAGGAATTGTGTGAACTTTTCTATAGAAAGGGTAAAAGATATTTTACGATATGTCACATATGCTTCGTCGCCGCGGCGATAAATACTCATCATCTCGTGTTGGGGTGAAGAGGCTGGGGTAAGGCTCACCCCCAACTACTAATGAATGACACAAAAAGAGGTAAAAGAGAGATTTGACCTGATTCTTTAGGCCTACCCGTTTTTTTTTCCCCTAGTGTGCACTCCGAACGTTTAGGGTGTAATCTAGGGACTCCCCACTTATCCCAAGCCCAGCCCAGGTCAACTGTCAATAGTTTTACAGGGGCATCCTTTTGGCACTTCACGAATGAATGAATACTTTATTGAATAGGAAATTTTCTGATCTAAACTTGGAATCTTGTACAAGAGCGAGTTCATTAGAGCCCGTTAGTAATGGGTCTTTTGGAGATGATCTTAGATTCTCATTGTTGCTTGATCAGCTACAGTATTCTACTAATCCTTACAGCTACAGTACAATGGAAACAGTAGCAATCAATCAAGCAGTAGATCAATTGATCTGGCACACCTGGTACAGCATAGATCTACTAAGGAGTAGGCTACCATTGGAATACTACGGTAGCTACTCATCAACTAAATAAGCTTAAGATAATAGCTAAGCTAATAGTTAATAGCTTAAGCTAATAGCTAAGCTAATAGCTTAAAATAATAGCTAAGCTAATAAGCTTACCGTAAATACTGTAATAGTACCCCACTGCCCTCGTACAGTCGCGTAGTCGCAAAAGTTTTTTAGTATTTCATTTTTTCAAAGCACCCGTACTTTCAAAAAATACGTCTTTGGTATCAAAAAATAGCCCTGAATTTCAGCTATTTTTTGATACCAAAAACGCTTTTTTTGATACCAAAGATAATGACGGTGCGGAGCGTTGCGTAGTCTAGCTTTGAACGAGTTTTTCTCGACACTGGTTTAAGCTACAATGCGCGCTTAGGTATCAAAAAATAGCCCTGAATTTCAGCTATTTTTTGATACCTACACGCGCATTGTAGCATAAACCAGCGCCGAGAAAAACTCATTCAAAGCTAGACTACGAAACGCTCCGCACCGTCATTATGGGGGTGGGGTACTAATACAGTATTTACGGTAAGCTAGTAAGCTTAAGTACATCTACTTACAAGTGTTACTTTATAGCAGTATATCTAAATAGTAAAAAGTTTGAATAAATATGAGTCAATAAACAAATATCCTCTAAAATTCAAAAATCTTCATCACCAGAAGAAATTTCAAAACACTTTTCCTATCCAATCCTGTCAAAAATGCAAAATAAAAAAAGGCTAAAATCTCTTATTTGTCTTTGAGTCAGACCATTTGATGTCTCAAGAACGAATCGCGCATTACCCTACCCCAAATTTCTTCAAAGATAAGCCCCATTGTTCCCCCAATTTCTCTTCAATACTTTGAGCTCACTGATAAAGCCGTTCATTGAATATTCATTGAATCTTTGCATACAATGACACGTCCATCATTTCTTTTATTGCCTTTTGACAGCTATCTTTAACAAAGAAACTGATATGGAAATTTTCCCTCGGTTTCCTTTTTTTGGAAAATTTTCTTTATGCTTTTAATTTCAACGGGGATAAAGAAATAATCGGTTATGGGTCTTTATCAGAAAAGAAAGAAAAGAAAGAAAAGAAAAGAAAAGAAAAGAAAGAAAAGAAAGAAAAGAAAGGGCACGTGAAATCGTAAAGCGCTAAATTGAGACAAAAAAAATGGGCAGAATCTGATGGCTCGGATGACTCGGTTCGGTTTATGATGGCTCGGAAAGTAGAACTCTAATGAACAACAGATTGAAAAGGAGAACTTTTTATGAAAAGTAATTAGTGCTTAAATTGAATTTATATCTGGCTTTTTTTTTTGGCTTAAATTGATTTAAAAAGATGAGAAATTAAACAAATAACACTTTTTTTATTTAGAGAAAACTAATGAATTTCTTATTTTTCAATGAAAGTATGAAAAGAAATGAAAAGACTTTCTGGACAGTCTAATAAAATATTCAAAATGGTACAGGTACAGCTGGAAGTACAGATACTGCTGAAAGTACAAGTACAGCTAAAAGTAAAAGTACAGCTGAAAGTACAAGTACAGCTGAAAGTACAAGCACTGCTGAAAGTACAAGCACTGCTGAAAGTGGTACTGCTGAAAGTGGTACTGCTGAAAGTAGTACTGCTGGAAAGTACAAGTACTGCTGAGCCAGTCCGTTGGTGGAGTTAGACTCGAGTTTTTGTCTAGTCTGGTCCAACTTTACTGACTCCCGTCTACGGTGGCTTAACCCAGAGTCCACCAAGCGCCATTAGCTTCTGAAATGGGCTGGTTTACTGGTTTCAGAGTCCAGCTGCAATATCCTAATTAGTACATAAACCTATTACTATCCCAGTACCGTAGACAAACCTAGTAGTATCCCACTATTGCTACAGCTAACTGAATCACTTGACTCAGATCACTTGACTCAGTACATAAACCTATTACTATCCTAGTACCAAGATCTGCACTTCAAAAATCTCTCTAGTTCAAGTGATTCAACTGGTATTTCTTTCATTCTATGGTCCAATTTTGGGAATGGGTGTCAATTGGTGAGAGTGAGAGGAGGGTAATCAGAGCTGAAAATGATTGACCCATTAAGCACTCCCAAAAACGCGATCATCGATGAGCACTTACCGCAAAATGGTACAATTGAGTGGGGGTTAAGGACACCAAAATGGCACTAATTGAGGCTATGGAATGGAGAGAAATGGAGAAGAGAAGAAGAGAAATGGAGAAGAGAAAAGGGGTGAAGGGGATTGTGTTCATCGAAATGGATCCATCTCTCGAGAAATTGTTGGAGATGGGGGGCAATTTGTGACATCTGTCAAATCGAAAGGGATTCATTGGCGATTTCCAGGGGATGAGGCAGATTTTTCCGGGAACCCACAATTTGTGTTTTCGTTTGTTTTCGGTGAAAATACAAATTCGAAAACGAATTTCTTAAGAAATTAAAATGTTTCCCATTTAATTTTTATTGTTAACTCACCTTAGTTTTTCATTGGTTAATTGAGAAACGATTATAAAATTGTAAAGTTATAGTAAGCATCAGTCTTCTATATACCAAGATATAGTATACCAAGATAAACCTACAGTATACCAAGATAAAGCTACAGTATACCAAGATAAAGCTACAGTATACTCCAAGATAAAGCTACAGTATACCAAGATAAACCTACAGTATACTCCAAAATAAACCTACAGTATACCAAGATAAACCTACGGTATACTCCAAGATAGTACTTCATTTTTCTAATTAAAGTTTAAAAAATCTAATCTTCGATTACTGTAGCCTTCATTTTTGAGTACTGTAATGATTTTTGAGACTTTGTAACACCTCGAAAACCTTACAGTAACACTCTCGAGTGCTTGTGAGATTGTCTAGAGTTAAACTTGAAAGCCTCTCTACCTATTCAATCTAAAGTAATCCAATCATCTCCTAATCCAAGGGTCGGTCACTTATAAAGCTTAATCTTAAAAGAAAAGAAAAAGGGTGACCGCCTTGTAAACAAAACAAAGCCCGGACATCTGATCGACGAAACCTCATTTGCATATGGCTTCACCTGGCTCGGCAAAGAAAAAGCGAAAAGAATGGAGAAGAATGGAAAAGAATGGACCTTTCTCTTCAACTTTGACATCCGGTACTCCTCAAAAGAAAGTCAAGATAATTGACTATTGGTGTGTGACAGGATAGGGATAGAAAGGGGTAAAAGACCTTGAAACAGCCGCTTCAAGCAAAGAATGGGTTACTTTTTGTGTTAGCCGCTTTCTTACAATGGTGGACCACATTGGTGATGGGAAATTGGGGGGAAATGGGAAAGGCTTAGGGTCTGCTTTCAGTTTTGCGTTCATTTTCAATGGTATAGTTTGCTTGAATGTATGTTTTTCATCTTAAAGATACTGTAAACTTTCGGTCCTTTAGGCTACTTTAATACAAAACAAAACTACAAAACTATTGAGCCACTTGAGACTGTAGGTAAACAATTACCTTTTAGCAAAGCTTTAATCTTAATTTAAAGCTTTACATTTTCAAATACAAGAATTCATGGGCTAGTGGCTAGGGCTAGTAACAAAGAATAAAAATTTATCTTAATCTTACTCGTTGCTTTCCGCGTACAGTCGGCGGGTACGAGGGGAGCTCTGTGGGAGATTGCTTGTCAAATGAAAAGAAAAAGGAAGAGATCGGCTTGTGCCTTTAGGCAATGTGAAGAGACGAAGATCAATGGGGCAAATCGTTTATTATGCAGAGTCACCTGAATGCCGTCTCTTTTCTCATTTCATCCTTTCACTCAAAGCCGCCGAATCATCCCAAACAATTCATCAAGCTCAATTCGATATTTGGGTCATCATACAATTTTTAGCCGGGGGAAATGGATAAAATGCAATAAGGCTATAAGTGAGATTTAGGTGATATTGGTATTTGATGACAATTTGCTTATAAACTTACATTTAAGTTCATTTTAGTTAATAACAAGCTTCCATCACTCTGTTTGTTTCCTTCAAGATACATATCGCAAGTGTTTTTGTGTTTATATATTTGTGTCTCGCAGAACTGGCGGGAATTCGTTGACGATCCATTGTAACAACGGGAATGACTCGATTTTCCCGCTAAAACAGAACAAGCAACATGTTAAAAATGGCAAACTTTGATCGCCGGACAAAATTTTCAAGTGAAAGTGCGCGAAAACTCGAGCGCCAAAGTTGCTTTCACATGTGAAAAACTTGCCATCCCCACTTTGGCGCCCAGCCAATATCGAGAAGAAAAGGGAAATGACGACTTAAAAAATTCGTCCTTCGATTTCCAGGGACTATCAAATAATAGACTCCCAAAAATTCCCAATTTTTATCAAAAACAACAAATTTAGCAACGAATATTTATAAAGTGAAAAAATTTGAGATCACGACAAGAAAGAGGCAAAAGGTGCTCATTTGAAATACCCGAGAGGTGTATAGGTGTTTTAGTTGAACGAATGAAAACAATAAGAAATTGTAAAAATTAATGTAGGACTAAAACAAGATTTGCAACGTGAAAACGATATGTGCAAAGAGTAAAAAGAAGCAAATTTAGATTTCGATCTGAGCACGAGCTTTTGCCAACGTCTCACCAAAGAGGAATTCGGTCACCTTAAAATGAAAATTAAAAACAAAACTGGTCCCTAAAATGCACATAGCTATTTTAATCTCTTATCCTAGAACTATTCTTAAATGCTTTGTGCTTTTATCAGTTGTTTTAAAAGTAAACAACTGCCTAGAGTAAAACTTAATTCCATTAAAATCACCTTATCCGAGTCGTCCGTTTTCTCCCCCTTTTTCTCTTCAGGAGTCTTCAGACCCCATTCTTCTTGTGGAAGCTTTCGTTTACGCCTTGGGTGGAGCTCCTCGTCGACCATGACCTAAAATATCAAACTAAAGCGATATCCCAAAAGTTTTGATTTATCCAAGATTTGGTAAATGAATACAACTAACTTCAACCGATTTGGCCCTGGCAATATCGGCTTCATATTCACCGATCACGAGATGGAGCTCTTTGAGTTCATCGTCATCAACTTTCTCGGGCTCAGGTTGATGATTCGAGCGCATCTTCTTTGCTGTTGTAAATCGTCCAAGCTTCTTCATCGTTTCGATTGCCTGAATTTATGATTAAAAACCATATAACGTACCCCTGTAACATCAAAAAAAATGCAACATACAAAGACGTTTGATGAGACTAAACGAACCTTATCAGGAAAACGAGGCTCCAGACCGTCTAAAAATCAAAATTGTTATGTTAGTCAAACACTCCTACTTCTAAATTTCAGCGTTTGAGCATCCTTGGTAGCTGCAAAAATACGAGCAAATATCGGATCAATTCTCATGTAGATTTTCGCAGTTTGATGAGCGAGGTTCCTTTCACGACTGCGTGGGCTTGAAGCTTTCTAAAAATACGGATTTGACAAAGCATGTTTTTATAATAAGAAAAAGGATTAGGTAATAAGATATTTAAAGAAAAATTTAACCAAACCTTGATTGGAGTGACATGCGAGCGTGAGACTGGACAAGAACGGCGACCGGAGAAAAACGACTTCAACTTGGGCGTTGTTGACATTTCTCCGCGAGCAGACGACATCTTCTAAAATACTTATTTAAAAAAGTGTTTAAATTAATGAAACCATAAAAACCGAATTTTAAAAAAAACGCAAGTAACAGAAAAAGTCAAAGCAATGAAACTTTTGAAAAATGAAATGACTTATGCGAAAATTGTATGGCTTTGCCGGGGGTGGGACAAATGCGACCTTTTTTTGCGCACCTGGACATTTGCGCACCTTTTTTTTGCTGGAAAAGGCCTTAGGCAAGGCCGTAGAGCTTCGAGAATATTTCGAAAATATTTCCATATAAGGGAATCGTATGCGTAGATTCCGAATTTCGACAAATCGGACCTCGCTGACACGTCAAATTTGGGCTAAAAGGCAAAAACTGCGGAAAAGCGTTAAGTTGCGTAGTTTTTGCCTTTTAGCCCAAATTTGACGTGTCAGCGAGGTCCGATTTGTCGAAATTCGGAATCTACGCATACGATTCCCTTATATGGAAATATTTTCGAAATATTCTCGAAGCTCTACGGCCTTGCCTAAGGCCTTTTCCAGCAAAAAAAAAGGTGCGCAAAAAAAAGGTCGCATTTATCCCACCCCCGGCTTTGCCAATTTTTGTGACTAACTAGATTCAATGAATATTTTAAAGATATTCAGGTATATAATAATGTAATACTTTAAACCACAAGAAGAAAGGTTAAAAACGGTCTGAGCATAGTTTTTCATTCACATCTTCTTTAAGAAGAGAAAATCGGGTGTAAAATGACTCGAAGTAAGAATTTTAAAAATTTAACGGTCAAAATGCTCAAGTTTACTTGATAAAAACCTAGTTTTTGCTGATAAAAACTCGTAATCGACGGTGTAAACAACGTTAACCTTGCAGATATTTTTGTGAATTTGAATTCTGTCTTGCCTATAACGCACCCTTTCGATTGTTTACCCTTGCGTTTTCAAATGTTGGCCATTTGCCAGGCTTTGTTATGTTTCGTTTTAGCGTTGCGTTAATGTTTCCTCGAGTAATACCTGTTCTTTAGATCGATGCCCAAAGTAAGATCTGATCAGTCGCGTTCCACCAAAGCGAGCAGGTAAGAATATTTTTGAGTTTTTAAATTTAGTACTTTAGATGCTTATTTGGACGACCAGATCAGGTGATCAAGGATGCATTGGATCAAAAAGTCAAGAGAATCATTGAAGAGGATACGAGGCGACTTGTCACCGATTTTGGGGACTTTGAAAGTGTATCAGCAAAAAATGTAGGCTTTATAACTTGGAAAGCGATGTAAAATGTTTGTTGAATTATCAGGCAGTATTTTGTAATTATTGTCTCCTTTTCAGATACCTACTTTCTACAAACGTGTTCGTGGACAACGTCTCTATGTTGATGATGAAAATGATGAGTTATTCCCAAGAGTAGCCAAGGTACTTTTTATATAAAACATGATGACAACTTTTACAAACGTAACACGTTTAGAGTCCGCCATTGGTTTCTCCGACAAAACCACAGGATACAATTTTGGCTCTAGCTGATGAGGTCTTTATATTAATTTGTTTTTTATCAGCTCTATGTTTAGATACCATCAACTTCATCAAAACCAGCATTTGCTATTCTTCCATCACCAGCTAAAAGGCCTCGCGCAGAAAAGAATGTTTCACTCGAAAATAGACGTGCAACCAGGTGGACTTTTGAAATGCGATTCAAAAATTTAACTGTGATATGTTAGATCGACGGGCCGTTTGTTTCAATCATCATCGTTGCAACAAAATGCAGAAAACGGTTCTACTTCTGTGGTGAGTTGTGCTCTTTAAAACTCTTTCAGTTTGAAACTCATTTTTAATTTGTTTTTTATCAAAATCTATTTAGTCGAAAGAATGTGGCCAAAAGATAGCTGCTATGATGGGAGCAACAAAGACTCGCGGAAAACCACAACTTCAATCTTATCTTACAAGTAAAGATTATTTACTCTTGTTTGTTGTTTTTATTTTAAAAATGCTATTCCTTTAGATTACATGCAACCAGAGAGAAAGCGACTCACTCCTCAGGTCAAGAATGAGGGAAAAGCGGCCATCAAGCAGATCGCAATCCATCGACACCGAGAGAGTAGTGCTCCACCGAGTCCAATGAGGTATTCAGAATCTAGTATTTTAAAAAAATTTGGCATTAGATTCCTCATCGAAGAAACTGACGGTACTCGAACGAAAACTTACATGGGAACAAGAAAAGGCGAGGATCCCTTGGTTGATACCAGCAAAAAACCTGAAGTGTTGAAAGGTGCGTGCTTAGCTTTTAATATAACAATGAAGAAAGTTATTAATCGAAGTAAATGCGTTTAGGTATGCTCAAAAGCGCGTCGACCTCTCGAATCTCACATCTCGGTGGTCGAAAAATGCAATAGACGGCCGCAATTTTGTTTTTCATTTTTTAAAGAATAGTCGCAAGTGATATTTTAATTACTTCATCTGGTCTTTGTCTTAAAACAGCTAATCTCATTTTTCAAATTAGCCACCATTCATTGTTACATTTGTAGTCAACTCAATGCCCAGAGATTTCTGCCCAGTATACACTTTGTTAATGATTTTTGTGGGTTATTTCATGCCTTTACACAGGACATAATCACTTAGCAAACTCAGGTTTTTTTTCTTGTATTCTCTAGTTTTTAGTGCATCTTCCGACTGTATCTAATCTTTCAATGTGATTGGTTTTTGGCTTGTCCAAGAATAGTCTTGATTTCATCGTTTTGTGCATATTTGCTATCTGTTTTACAATTCTTGTGCTTTAAACAACGATAATGTTTTTAATAAATTTTGGACGGTAGAGTTACTGACGAGCAAACTGAGTTTTCTACTGAGAAAATTAATAATATGGAGAATGCCTCAAGATAAAGGGGCGACAGGGGAAATGGGCGCCATGGCAACGCAACAGCCAAACCGAAAACTCACTTTGCCTCCATTTCACTTAAAATTCTTCCTGGCTTGATTAAATTTTTCTAAAAATGGCCGAAGAAGAAGATGAGGAACCGATCGGTGAATTGGCTGAAGGACCGGGCAAAGAGTTCGAGATTTATTTGAAGGTTGTTGTGTCAAGAAATGTTACATTTAGTCATTTTCTGTAAAAGATTGAATCCTTTGAAAGACTTTTAAATTCTCTCATGTTGCAGAGACTAGAATTTCTATTAATTATCAAGAATTTATCCTTCTAGAGTGAGGATATGGTGGAAAAGTTGAAGCTGCTCAACTACGAGGAGGGATTTCTCAAGCTGAACAAAGCCTATCGAGCGATTCAGCGGTAGGGTATCTAATGTCTAATTTCTAGATATTCACAAATCCATGCTCGACCACGAAAACCACCCAATTCAGTCACTATTTCGTGCGCTCAACAAACGTCGGCGAGCAATTCTTTTTGTTCACTTCGCTCGCCGCATGGCTCATCAGGAAATGCGGGAATGAGCAGTTCGAACTGCCGCAAGAGGTGCTTTTCAAAAAAAAAACAATTACAAATTTTCTTTACAAGATGAAAAAGAAAAGCCCAAAGAATTGTAGTTTGATGATCCAAACACGACAATCACCAACATTGTCACGGAAGTTCGCGCAAAGGTTTATGCAATAGGAGAAGAATTTAAAACATCTCATTTCTAGGGTATCGCCGCCGATTTCTCATCAAGTAAACTGAAATCGGGCTCCGGGGAACAGGTCCTCTTTGTGCTCGACAAATTGTGCGATACGGCTCTTGTAAATACGGGATTCAGTTGGCAAAAGTGAGTGGAGAAGCAGGCTTGTAAGCGGAAAAAATACGGAAAGGCAATCTTTTGATTTTCAAAGCAAAACCCAACGAACGGAAAAAGCGGAAAAACGTAGCTGCCCCATTTGTTGACTTTTTCTTTGAAAATTAAAAGCAATTCATTTTTCCGCTTTTTTTTCTGCCTGGTGGGAATAAATCGAAAATCTGAAATAGTAATGTTGAAGTTGACCATTCAAACTTTAGAATGGTTCCCCCGGTGAACGAGGATGAGGACATGAATGTCGACTCGGAGAAGGACTCCGATTCTGAGGGGGTACTGGGTTTGGGCTGTTCAGAAAAATCATTGTGCAAGTCTGAATCGTATTCTTAAGCGCGTTCGGTTGTCTTTGCCGAACGTGCTTAAGAACGAATAAGTCCCTTTCAAAATCAAAGTTTACGCCAGGTTCCCGACGACGAGATCGACGTTGCAGACGACGATGACGACAATGCGATTCTCGTCGATCTTGCCGCACCGATAGGCGCTGATCGAGCCCCAAATGTCTGTCCTCAATAATACAAATCTCAGAGAAACGTTTAACGTTGAACAAATCTCTTTTCAAGAATCCCCAGCAAGACCTTCTCAAAAGCTCGATCGACGCGCAATCGTGGAAAACCGAGGTGGAACGAGTGACTCCACAATTGAAGATCACCATTCGACAAGATGCAAAGGTTTTGTTGGACAACATGTAGGCCTGTAAAGTTCCAGTGTTCTGTCTTACCTATTATGTCTAGATAAGAGCATTTTCCAATTAAGTGACCCTAAACACTCGGGTCTACTTTAGTTAGACTTATCAATCCAGACATTTAGGATTGGCGAATGCACCTCGAGCAAATGCACTCGATGCACACAAATATGGAGGATCTCATCGCGATCGTCACTCCACAATTGGGACAAGTGAGTGATTGGAAAGCCCAAAAAATTGACTCCTTCAGATAACATCCGAACTCGACAAATCATTGGAGCGAATTGAGACTCGAGAGAAAAATCTCAATCAACAACTATCGGGACTAATCTCAAAATTTCGACAATCACAAGACTCACGAGCCGAAGCTGTGCAAAGATACAAGTGAGCAAGTGGATCGAATAAATTTAGACCATGATCAAAAATAGAACGGCTAGCGTTGGTATAACCGAGAGGGAATCGACTCTGCAAAGAATTTCCGATGATCTTGATCAAATAAAGCAACAGATCGAAGAGGAGGGGCAGAAAAATAGTGATGGAGGTAAGAAATAGGATTTTCTATTTTGCCAAAATGTCAAACAAATCGAGGTTTCCTGTTATTCAAAGCCCCACCTTGATGAAACTAAGCCATACCTATTCAGCACCACTTGTGAAAGTGAAACAAGCCTTGTTGAAAATCGAAGAAGACATTCAAAAGATGAATGTTCAAATCGGAGTCCTCGAGCAGGCCCTTCTCAACGCTCATCTTCGTGAACGGGTCGCGTTCGCACAAGAAGCATACGGTGCATATTGAATGTTACCACAGATCTAAATGAAAATTTATTCAAGCACGGTATAAACGTCAAGCCACCAATACAAGGACAAGCGAATGAAACAATCTATATCATAAAAGCACCGCATAAACTAGAACAATGTCTCGCCGGGACAATAGAAATAATAGAAACCGCGTTCAATTAGAAATAACCCGATAAAAATACCACAATACGTTGACTTGAGATCAAATATAAGACATACATTGGAGGGAGGTAATAAATAAATGCCAAAATATTGGGCCTGTAATAGACAAACAACCTATGCTTTAAAACTTACAAGAGCATTATTTGCCTAAACATTGCATCTCACAAAGGTAATCAAAGTTTCCTTTTTGATGAATCGTCATCAGAGTAGACTTCTTCAGGGATTACATCTTCATGCACATACCTTGCTTTTCTGACCGCCCGATGTGGCTGCTGTCGACGCGGCGTTTCATTCTGAACAAATTTGTCTAAAAATATAATCAATGATTTACCAAATCCCTAGCAGCGCTTCGAGTATTACTTCCACTAGCCCTTGATGTTCTAACTGATGGTGCGCTAAAAATAAAAACCAGCTCGTGCAAGATTTAATAAATTTTACCTCATTAACTCTTTAAGTTTATCCTTATCGGTTTTTGTGCTTTTAGAAGGCCTTTTAGCAGACTGTGCCTAAATTGCTTTTATAAAAAAAAAGGCATTCTCACTTTGCGAGGAGTTTTTGCATCAGTTTTTGCATCAGTTTTTGCTTTGCTAGTACCCGGTTGATTTGCATCCTCGTTCTATAAATTGTATCCTGTTACTAGCAAAAATTCAAAACTGGCGTACCCTTTCTAGTGATTCTTCAGCACGGCGAAGACGTGCTTCGGCACTTCGCGAAAACGAAAACAGATATTGTAAGGCATGCGGTGGAGGGCTTAGTGACGCAAGATCCTAATGTTTTTTTTCATTAAGCTAATATAAAAACAAACCGCTCGTATCCTATCAACATCCAGCTTGAGTCGCAACAGACCTTTTGGGGTAAAACCAAATCCCACGTTAGTGTATTTGCACACCTAAATAAAAAGATTTGAACCATGGATACATTAGCACACTTACACTAGCGTAAGCGGCAAGTACTGGGTATCGTTTATCTCCAATTCCATGAAGGCTCTCCAATTTGTTTTTAGAAACATAAATTATTTCTCTCCTGATGTGCTCGATCACAAGCTTTATGAGGTAACCTTGTGTGCTCACGACCTAAAAACGTTTATGTTATTGCAACAAATAGATGCATACTTTATTGGGATCATCGGGTAACGAGGAGCGTCTTTTGGCCTTTGGATCGGGATTGTCCTAAAAAAGATAACATATAAACATTAATAATAGAGTATACCTTGCTATGCGATTTCTCGCTACTCACTAGGAAATGCAAGTTCTCCGCTGAGACGGTAAAAGTCACAAAGGCTGCAACTTTCTCTGGCACAAGCTAAACAGTATTGGTTTTACAACGGCAACAACGATTGAATACGGTACCTTTGCAATTATTTGCTTCCATTCATCCGAAAGAGTTTCTTCTGTTTGTTCCGAAATTTGGTCGAATAAGTCAATGAATGCGTCAACAATTAATCGTTGATTTTCGCTACACTTGTTATAGGAAAAAAACTTAACGAGTAACTTACGGCACTCCACGGAAAATTTCAAAGAAGCTCATCAGCATTGATCGCAAAAACGGTCGCTCAAAGGATTCAGGATGCATGATTCTGGAGTAATATTATTGGAAACTCAAACTAGTCTATTTACCTAGCTATCATTGTGGTCAATAGTCGACACACTCCGATGGCTCGTGGCTGATGCAACACAAATTTCGAAGCGCATTCGTAAATGACATTTTCATAGTTACCGACCTCAACATCAAGCGGAATGTTCTAAAATAGAAAATGTGATAGGAAAGTGAAAAGGTGATACCCTCAATGCGTCGTTTAGATAATCAATAAAGTCGAATGGAATATCTTGCCGTTTCGCCATATTTTCATCACTGTTCGCCAAAGTCAGAATCTAAGCACATCAAAATTATTGCCTTTAAACCTTGTTGCTCACCTTCTCGTAGTTACTCATCAAAATGACATCGGTCAATGCAACAATCAAATTTTGCTAAAAAAACCATGTTCTTCAGTTCTAACACCTAACTAACGTGTAATAGAGCATTATCTTGAATCTCATAAGCAATTGTGCATAGAATCGGTACATATGTTTCATAATCCTCTTGAAATTGCATACACAATGTGGCCATCTAAACAAGCCAATGTTGAAAATCAGTTGTTTTTGAACAACCATCTCAATGAAGATCACAATAATGTCCCTTTCATAGGGTAAGATCTGTGTGAAACGTTTCAGTATTCCATTCAGAATCAATTGACGGGGTTGAGCATCCTAAAATAAGCCCAACCATTAAATGCACAGTCCCAAATGACTAACATATTTTTGGAGAGTTCTTTGCACAACTAGGCGGATTCCTCGAAAGCGATTTGTTTTCAGCATTGCATTGATCACCATACAAGCTTGACCCAATGGCTCATGTTGTAAGACCAAGACACCCTAAACGCTTTGCCTTGAATAGATCTTTGTTCAACAGGCATCAAACTATCTTCTAGCCTACCTCTTCGTTGAATTCTTGCTGGATGTCATTAATGGAGTACCAAGTGGTGATAGCATCTTCTAAGTGATAAATTAAATCACCCCAAATAGCCTAAAACACCGGTCTAGATAAGTGACTAAGAGAAAATAACGAACCGCAACAAATTGTTGTTCTTCCGTTTCTGCATCAAGCAAAAAAGAGTCGATGTATTCCCGTACGGCAAACTCAACGATAGTCCTTGACACAACCATGTTGGTGAGAACTCGAAGCAAAAACTTTCGATAGGTCTCCCTATAAAGTTTTTGTTTTAGAGGTTAAAATTGTTAGCAAACATTCCAGCTTCCTCTTTGTCCAAAATCGAAAGAACCGTCAGCAAATCGTTAAAGAGTGTCCACCAGGATTTATCATAGGTGTCAATCAAATCGTCCCTTTCAGCGAACTGGCTGAAGGTGTTTGCGAATAACCTAAATAAACTAGAGCTGAGATTGAATATTAATGGAACCTATTAATCTCAGAAGAGGCTTCTTGCAACGTAGGGCATAATCGATTAAGGGTAACGAGCAGACTGGCATTATCTCCCTTGGCGCACTTTTTGACATAGTCTACCAAAACTCTCCAGAAAAAGATAGCTGGATAAGAAAACTGAATCGGCCTCCTAAGAACGATGTTGTAAGACTAGGACCACAAAACCAACCAAATAATCTTCTTAAAAGTCCAAACAGTGATGATATTGTCAGTCTAAATCATAGAAAGTTTTGAAAATGTAAAATATTACTCACCGGAGCGATACCAGCTATAAGTTCACGGATAAAGTCGTCAATGGGCAAGTCATTGAATATATTCTGATGATAATATTCTAAAAGACGCTCTATCAGTGCTCGACAATTCTAAATAATAAGTAGAAAAGCAACTCTCTGAAAAATTACCCGATCCTGCTTGGTTAAGATCGTTGCCGAAAACTCCTTCAATATGACAAACAGTCCATGCGCAATGCCGTCTAATTTGCTTCTTGTCGTCTTCCTTCCTTTCTGATTGGCATCCTGAGGGTGGAATTACTTTACGTTTCACAACTATTTTACCATGACAATTTGACTAATCCATTGTGAGGCCAACTGGTCTTGCGCGTATCTTCGGATGTGACCTACATAAGTATTTTAAATGATATTAACTATAATAGTTACTATTCTTGTCCATCAAAGTCCCAAATAGAGCTTCATAGATCTGACTAGCTTGAAAATCAAGTGGATCTTGTTTTGCCAAACGGCTCATTGCTGCAATGACAATCTAAATTAGAAAACTATGAAGCTAAGTGAACTGATTATACCTCTGGCTGATCATCATTTTGTGACATGTAAATTACACGATCACGAAAACGCGTATCAACAAAAGTTATCGAAGAAACGGCAGCCGATCTAACTCGCCAATCCGGATCTTGGAGCATATTGAACAAAGCTAAAAAATGCTTAACATAATTAATTCAACAAAGGATGCCTTCTTTTGGTGAAACAAGGACAGTTGACTCAACGGGTTCATCTTGAATGGCTGTCAAGCCTTTAACACAAGCTACTCGAACTTCAGGGTCCTGCAAATATCAAGTATACTTAAGAAATAAAAGATTTTTACTTTTGACCTAGCGAAGAGCAGCAAACTCTTTAGAATCTTCTCTCTTTTACATGAATACAACACATGTCCATCTAAACAATTATTTTAGTTATTGTAAGTCCACGCATAGAATAAATGTAGAAAATATTTACTTTTCCCAAGACGGACTGACCACTCCAATAATCGACCCAAGAGCAATAAACAGTTGATTTGGACTTCTTTTGAAACAAATAAGAGACACTAAACAAATGTAATCAGAAACCATTAAAAAGATTAACCTGTTGACAATCGCTGATAAGTTGGTCCACGATCATTGGTTGACCGTTCCATATATAAATAAGGACGGCGGCCCGTGGTAACATTCGTAGAGCATTATCAACACTAACGTTCCTACCAATCCTATAAAAAGTAATAAATTAAGTTTTTTTACAAGTTGTTTAATTACTTACGGAAGAAGTACATGATATCGCGCTTGCAGATTTTTGAAAAAATACTCCTCAAGTTCGTTATTTTGCGTGCGGAGAACCTAGAGATTTCTGCTGCTTAGCTTGTGGCAAAAAGCTTACTCGACCGTATGTAGCTTTGAGGATCACTATGGCAGTCTTGGTGTGTTCATTAACAGTTTCTTGTGTTGCCTAAACTTGCGCTGCGATGTGGATAGAAAAATGGTTTACATTTAAAACTCCTCTGAAGGCGTCGATCAAGTTTTCATCGATTGATTTCTTCTCTCTCTAAAAGAAAAATTCCAAATACTTGACAAAATTGTCAAACCGCTATGTCCTCAATCGAAATTGCTTCTCCATCACTTTCATCAGAATCAGATGATCTCTCCGTGCTCATTTCTTCAAGTGAATCATTGTCTTCATTCATCTGAAACTATTAGTGAATCTTAGGGTGTGATGAGGCAGTAGCATTAATGATTGCTCCCAAATTTATTGCGTTCTAATTCAAAAAATGGCAGCGCTGGATAACGCCACAAAACAAAAAACATTTGTTTTAGCCATTTTCCTAAAAGATTCAATCATTTTCAAATAATTCGAACATTTGGATATTTTCTTAGAAACTTGGTATTAACATTTCAATCAGAAAATTACGCAGAAACAAAACTGCTCGATCAAAAGATGACCTGCAAATTAAAGTTTATCCTTTCATCAACGACTTTTATGGCATTGAGATCATGCGATAAAAATTACAAAAATGACAAAGTTGGAAAATGACAAATAACCAGTAAAAACATGTAAAAAAATACAAACACAGCGACTAAAAAGGTGTGGAAAACAATAATAACGCACAAACGTACAAATTCTAAGGACGGTCCCATCGACTTGATCGTCTTGTATTTCTGCTTGGACTCGAGTAGCTGCCGGAGCGTCGTTTTTGCCGGTCAGTAGTCCAGTAGTTCTGGGAATCTCTGGGCTAAAACATCGTTTAAACAAGTGTAAACCATAAAACACAACTGTTCTCTCCCTCTTGCTGTGAATTGGACCAATTGCTTCCGATCCAAGGGCTATTTCTTGTTCCGAGTTCCGTCGATTCATCGATGAGGCGAAATGACTGGTGCTGACCGATTGCCCAGAAAGAAGCAAATCCTAAACGGCAATATGTAGCTTCATAAAGTAGAAGCTTACATTTGAATGTGGCAAAACATCCGAGAGGCCGAATGAAAAACCGGGTCCAACCAGTCCGAGAGGCTTAGGTAACATTCCATGATCGCTTCCAATAATTGCCCCATTCATCATAGGAAATGAATTTAACCCCTAAAAATATTGATTTAAAAAAAAAATAAGCATTAACTATATTGGGCGCTATTCCTTGATTTAAACCAAACATCGGCGGTATTGCTGGCGGAAGAAACGGCCATTTGAAGGGTTCCAAAGAGTTTTGTCTGCTAGTCATTACGGCATTCTGTAAGCTTGCTTGAATGAGATCTAAAAAAATTAACGACGTAAAAAAAAAAGAAAAAAACGCACTCATAGCAAGAAATGGGTTGTTTAAAAGATTGAGCCCTCCTGGCGACATCAAAGACTGGAAATACATAGCTTGTTGCCATTGTGCAGTGAAGGAAGGGAGATTTAACTCTAAGTTGTTGGTTTAACGCTGTAATAAAATAACAAATACCTTGAATCGGAGGAGAACTTGTATCAGGCATTTGTATAAGTGAAGAGGGCGAAGGAACATTGCGAGCTTTTTTGATTTTGTGCGCTCTCCGTACCTCGACGCGACGTCCATCAATGACCTATGTATCAACAAAAACTTTGTACGTAGCACAAAAAAAAGTCAAAACCTTATGATTTAGATTGACCCTGGCCTGAAAACATCGCGCTTGATCGTTAATTGTAGCAAACCCAAATCCTTTGCTTCCTCGTTCGTTGTAGACAATCTCAACTTCCTCAACAGGCTCGTAACTAAAAAAAATAAGTTTTAAACTTTAAAAGGTTTCTCACTCTTTGAGAAATTCTCGAAGTTCTTTTTCAGTCCAGCTGAACGGAATGTTGGAGATGAAGATACGGCAAGATGAAGTATCTTCCGGACTTGACGCATCATCGTCGATCGCAATTGTGACAGGCGTCTGCTCCAATTTGTTGCTTTTCTCTATATTGGTGGCTTGTTTTAGAACGCTGAGAAAAAGAATCAAAACCTTCATTTTCCGTAGCCGAATTTAGTTTACTACTCCATTTATCCATTTACAACGAGTTCCGCCAGTCTAAAGAAGAAAATAACATTCGCAGACGCAAAATAAGCAAACAAGGGAAATAACGGTTGGAAAAAAAAACGCGCAACCATTAGGGTCATAAATTCAGCCTACCGTAATACTTGTAATAGTAGCCCCCCCTCAATGACGTACAGTCGCGTAGTCGCTAAAGTAAATCATTCTTTCAACACGCCCAGATTTTTCTAAAATAAACTGTTATTACCAAAGGATTCTTCGCTTCAAGCGCTATCTTTTGATATCTAAGCGCACATTTTTCGTCGAAGCAGTGCGGAGAACCGAGCGTCACAAAATTGTGTGTTAGACTACGCGACTGTACGGGGGGGTACTATTACAGGTATTATGATACGTTAATTACCCTAAAGTCGCGAGTATAAGTTCTGTTTGGTTTTCGCATGCAAATTGACGGCTGTCTCTGGTGCGGTGTGTCGAGGGTTCGAACCCCGCTGCAGCATAACTTTTTTGCTTTTTAAGAACAATAATAAAAGTTTATATAACAATAAAAATGTATAAAAACCCAACAAAAAGAAATTCAAAGCAATTAAAGCGACAAAAAAGAATTCTGTGCTTAGCTTCGAAACTGTTTCATCCGTCAAAGCTCTTCGAAATCCATTGATAATGCAAGAAGAGGGGACCGCATCGAAACTTTTCCTTACCCATTCCGAAACTGTCTCGTAGCTCGCTCTCTTTTCGTCCCGACAGGGTAAATTGGTCGTTTCGGCTATCGAACATCCATTCTTCCCAGTGAGTCTTTAGATTGTCCTTGAATGGCTTATTGACGCTGATGTCAAGCGGTTGTAGAAATCGAGTTAGCCCTCCTGGAATCACAGCCAGCTTCGAGTGTTGCTGAATTTCAGCCTTGACATTATCGGTTAAGTGACAGCGAGCTGAGTCCAATACGAGCACTGATTCTTCGGATTTGGCCGCCGGATTTGCTCTTCGCAACCAAATTTCATCGATCCACTCCTTCATCAAGTCCGAATTCATCCACCCTGTCGGATTAGCTTTGATGATCACACCGGGAAAATTTCCTTTCGGAAGAGTCTTGCGCTTGAAAATGAGCATCGGTGGGTGTTTCGATCCATCGGCTAGAATTCCGAGCACAACTGTGAAATTCGTCTTCTCATTTGCCGTTGAAGCAATTGAAATATCATCCTTTTCTTTTACTTCGACTGTTCGGTTGGAAAAACTGTCGAATGAAACCGGAACCTCGTCTATATTTCCAAACGATCGAAAAGATGATTTCTTGCTTTGACCGTCCTTTGGAAGTGATTGTCCAACGCTCGTCCTCCGCCGCATCGACAAACCATTCCGCCTCATGAAATTTTGAATCCACGAATTGCTGGGTGAAAACGGACGAATCCCAAGTTTAGTTGCAATCTTGATGGCTTCTCGTTTCATTGCCGGTCCATTTAGAGCTCGTTGTTTTGATCGCCTCTCCAAAACCCATGCCTTCAGATCTTTCTCCACATCCGGCCATTTTGCCCTCAATCCTCGGAAAGCTCGCTTATTTTTTGGTGAAGTCATCAGTGCCGGCTCAGCTGGTTTCCAGCGGTTAATCATCTGTTCGGCGACAGAAATTCGATCGCAGCCGCGTTCGTTCCAAATTTCCTCGCAAATTTGACCGCTTCGAGCATCGTTTCGGCGGTGTACGACTTTCTCCTCATCGTATCTAAAATGAAAAAACGTTAGTAAAATAAAAAAAAAACAATAAAAATGAAAGAAAGAAGAAGATTTTCCATCAGAGCCCTTTAAATTAAGGCAGAACTTATACTCGGATGAACTTATACTCGAGACTTTAGGGTAATTCATTAAACAAAAAAGTAATTTCCTCTGCACATCATCTTGCAACTCCACAACTATCGACGATTTGATATAGATCAAAATTTCTATGTATACTGTAGAGGTTATCAAACTTTTAAAATGCAGTGGCATTTTACATTTTCTCAATTTTCAAAGGAGTCACGGACGAAAGCATGAAAGGTTGGGTGGCAACTTTCTCAAATTAGAACGACTTTTAAAAATCCATTTATTTTTTATGCACAGTTCATAAACAGTTTGGTTAAAAATATCTTTTGCAAATATCGAGGGCGTTGTCACTACATACAGTCGACTCTCTCTATAACGGAACTCTATATAGCGCTTATGTACTGGTTTGCCCGAGATAGGTGCACTTTAGAATGCCTTATTTGATCTTTATTTGATCCATTATTAAACAAAAAAATTGTTTGACCAAATTTATTCAAACAATTATTTGTTTGTGAGGCACGCACAAATCTAATCACAAGTGTTGTCAAGAAGCTCGCTCAATAACTGACGCTACAAATTAAGCTATTTTGATCTGCGTAGACGAGCCGAGGTGAGGAGAACTTTAGAAGATCGAAGTTTCAAATTATAAACTATGAAAATAAATTTTCAATGACACATCTTATACTAAAGATAGTTGTTGATCAGTTAACCCAGTTGAATAATCAGAAATCAGTTAGCAAAAAAACTTGACACAAGCAACAGCAACATTTAACTAGCTATTCATGTATCCAAAATATCATCGTTTTTAAAAACCATCTAGATCCACCGTTCTTTCTTTAAAAAAAGTCATCGACAATGCTTTCAAATCCGCTTGCTATTTTGTTGAAAAGTTGATTTTAAACTGTACCAAGTTGGCATTGCTTAATAAAATTGAATAAAATAAAATAAAATAAAATTGAACGAAATCACAAACATAAAAGTGCCAAAGTCTACAGAACATAAACATACAAAAGTTCATTTTGATCCATCAGTGGCATTTTGAGTCCTTTTTTTTCATCAATTACATTTTGGCAAAAAGGTAGAAAGCTTAGAGTTTATGCCTTAAAGCTTAGCTACTTAGCTGTCACAAATTAGACAGTTCACTACGTGAAAGTTGCGAAAAATCTCATAATTATCATCTTTGATCTTAAAATCATCAGCTTAAAAATGCTTACTACCACTTCAAACATCTCATAAATTGGGTTGGGAACTTGAAGTTGGCTATGCGTTCAAAATAATATTGATCAACAACCAAAAGAGCAATCAACAAACGCTTTTTGCCAGTGAATAGATCTATCCATCTTCTAAAAATACTTTTGATAGATTTGAAAAAAAAGGCTCGTTTTGGAAGTTTTTGGAAAACGAGAAGTTAAGGATTAAAAAAGATGAAGGGTCGATGAAGCGATTTGACCACTTTCATCCACAGAAACCACAGAAAAGTTGATTTTAAACTGTACCAAGCTGGCATTGCTTAATAAAATTGAACGAAATCACAAACATAAAAGTGCCAAAGTCTGTAGACACTTTTACATAAACATACAAAAGTTCATTTTGATCCATCAGTGGCATCCTCTATAACTCTCTATAACGGCACTCTATATAACGGAAAAAATTTCCTTCCATTAAGAGGTGAGCCTTGTTCTAAAGACTTTTCGTTGTACTCCCCGGCGAGGGGGAAATTGTGATTGGGGGCTTCTCTCTTTTTAGGTTTTTAACTAATTTGTTGATAGTTTAGTTGTTTTACTTTAAGCTTACCTATCCATCAGAAAACTAGTAGCCTTTTTGACAAACACAAAAAACACCTACAGTACCGGTCAAAATTATATTCCCATATCCCCTCCAAAAAAGTGTCCCTTCTTGTCACTTATAGATGGATCCAAGCCAAAAAAAGTGCATCTTGTAGAGCTAAAAAAGAGTTTCCAGAATCTCCATGACAAATGCTTGTAAGATGACTAGACAAAATGTTACAAGCCTCCAAAGAAAGGACACTTTTTTGGAGGGATATAATTTTGACCGGTACTGTACCACCGCCGAGAGTACTTGCCATTCCGATACTGGAAAAGTACCTTCAGTAAGTTGATGAGTTTATCTTTGAACTAAAACAGGTAAAATTTAAGCATTAAAGAACTACACTAGAGGTGGGCAAGTCCAGTCGATGAATGTGAGAGACCTTCTCCAAGTTGTTTCGAGACTTCCGGCATCGAATAACGTTCGGAGGCGCTGTCGGGCCTAAAAGAAAAGTGTATAAACCCAAAAACATATTAACCAATTTCGATCCTAAAAATCTTTTTCTGGGTAATTTTAGGGTGTAGAAGCCAAATTTTGACATATCAGATCTTGTGGAAGCAAATGGACGGGGTTATACATAGGGAAAAATCGGCAATTTTCTGTAATTTGATTAATCCGTTTTATCTATCAAATTGATTCCACAAGCTCTGATAAATAAGAGAAACTGAAACAACAAATTTATTTTGGAAAGCTATCTAGACAGGTAGATAATCTTATCAAGTGTGTTAACACTACTAAAGAACAAAAAGACCAAATTGATTGAAAAACGCAAAAAGTCAACCTACCCCGTGTAGATGATGCTGTGGGGGTGGGACAAATGCGACCTTTTTTTTGCGCACCTGGACATTTGCGCACCTTTTTTTTGCTGGAAAAGGCCTTAGGCAAGGCCGTAGAGCTTCGAAAATATTTCGAAAATTTTTCCATATAAGGGAATCGTATGCGTAGATTCCGAATTTCGACAAATCGGACCTCGCTGACACGTCAAATTTGTCGAAATTCGGAATCTACGCATACGATTCCCTTATATGGAAAAATTTTCGAAATATTTTCGAAGCTCTACGGCCTTGCCTAAGGCCTTTTCCAGCAAAAAAAAGGTGCGCAAATGTCCAGGTGCGCAAAAAAAGGTCGCATTTGTCCCACCCCCGATGCTGTTGAAAAAACAAAAAACCTATTATTTTGTAGGCTGACAAAGTATTCAACGAGAAAGTTGAACTTCAAATAAAAAACTGAATATCTATAACTTTGTTGAGACTTCTGTGAATAAAGTTCTGTCGCTCTTTCGTCTCCTTTTTCAAGGCGACCAGAGAAATTTCCATTCTTGCATTTTGCGTGCTCTTGCTTGTACTTTTGACTATTTTGAGTGAAAACTCGTTTTAGGTAAAACGTACACGATGGTGGGCCCTTCACAAGTTGATGACTTTTCTACTATCCCGGCCAACGAGCAAGGCATAATTCCAAGATGTATCGACGTTCTCTTCAGTTTCCTCAAAGCCAAGACCGACCACGTTTGGATTTTTGGATAGTTATTATTGAACCAGTTTCTTTTTTAGCTGACCAGAGACGAATTCCAAAGCGAAATGCACATCTCTTATGTGCAGCTGTATCAAGAAGAGTGGTATGACTTGCTGGATGGCAACGTAAAAGTAAGGAAAGGTGCTGCTGAAGAAAAGTTTACTTCTGTTTAGCTTCAATTTCGTACATCGACGGGATTAAATTCCAAGCGGTTCAAGGTTACTTCCCCAGCGGAAGCTCTGAAGGTAGAACTCAAATTTCAGGGTAGCAAACTATTGATTTAGCTTCTTTCCGAAGGATGGAATGCGAGAAAGACGGCGGAAACGAGGATGAACAGAGCATCGAGTCGATCCCACTGCGTTTTCGTGATCGAGGTACTTTTTTTGTGATAAAAATTTCACTTTTTGTGTTTCAGCTTACAACGGAAGAACTTGTCGACGACCTTGCGGAGCGGCGCACCTCAAAACTACACCTCGTTGATTTGGCTGGATCGGAGCGCATTGCACAAACTGGCGTGGAAGTTGGGTCCTAGCATCGATTTTGCATTTGTGTTTAGAGCTTGACGTGCCTTGCCCGTGTAATGCAGCAGCTGTCAGAAGAGAAGTCGGTCATCAGCTACAGGGACTCGAAGCTCACTCTCTTCTTGAAGGATTCGCTTGGCGGAAAAGCGCGCACATCCATTGTTGTCACGGTTCATTCGGAGAAAAGGTTTGTTTGCTTTTCGATGTAGAAAATATTAAAATTTGGTTATTTGACGAACATCATATCTTCTTTGCAATTCGCTCGTGACTGCCGTACGATTGAAAACCATCTTCAAGTACCATTTTTGAAAAAATATATGCCAATTTTCTTTAGGTTAACATGAAAATTACGGGCAACACAGTGATGACTTTGAGCAACGAAGTGAACAACCTGAATCAGCAATTCCAAGATGCACAATTAGGTACTTGCTCATTTATTTACTTTTATATGTTGTTTTGATTTAGAATACAAAGCAATGCTACAAAAGCTTCAAGAAGAAAACCAAGATTTAAAACGGCTGACACTGAAACAAAACGCCGAAATCGACGCTTTGAAAACAAAGCTTTGTTTTGTAGATAAGCGAATTGTAAGTTTATTATGTCGGAATAAGAAAAGTTGCAAGTTATAGGCTTTGCAAACTCCAAAAACATCTGCCAAACGCCGCCGCACTTTATATGCCTCATCGGAAGAAGTTCGCAGATCCGTAGAAAGGGTCCGAACACTCAAGCTTGATGACGAAAAGGAAGTAGCACCTCACGTGTACATTGCTGAAAAAGTTTGGCTCGTTGTTGCTGCATTAAGATAATGTTTTGTTAAGAACATGGCCTCATTTTCCCAAGAAGAAAACAAAGAGAATGATCTAGAAATTGAGCTGAATCTTCATAGACAACTTATTGAAGAGAAAAAACAGGTAGTGCAAACGTAATGCCTTATAGCTTATCGTTTCTTCAGGAAATTCTGGCCCTAAAGGATCAAGCAAATGCGGTTCAAGCAGAAGCACAAATACGGGCTGAAAGTTTGACGAAGCAATTGGAGGAAGGACGTAGAACGATAGGCTGGCTAGAGAGAAACAACCTGGAGATGACGAAACAGAATGCAAATTTGATTAAGGAGGTAGTTTGTCTAATTTTGAAGTACCGCCGTCAAGTGTTCCCATATGGGGACACTTGTTGATACTCACAGAATTTTAAACACTTTGTTGATACTCCATCACAGAATTTTAAAAAGCTCTAGAGAATAAAAGAAAACGAAGCATTTCAGTATGAAAAAGTGTCCCCATATGGGAACACTTGGGGGCGGTACTTTATAAGTATGATAGTTTATAACCATTTCTTTGTTAAAGATATTATACTCTTAAAATTACCATTTTACATTTAGAAGCAATCAATCGAGTCACAACTGATGGATGTTCAGTCAGCACACAGAAAAACGATGGAGCTGCTTGACGATCAGAATCATCATCCGTGCACGCCAGTTGGCCCAAGAGCCTCGATCTTCAACGCCCTTGCCGTGCCTCATCATCCAGTCCTTCGCGAAGTCCTGCGAGCTTGTCTTGTACTTCACGTCTTGTACTTTTTATTTAGTACAATATTTTCCTTGTAATGAATAGATGCCAACGTTCCATCGTGGTCCCAGTTGCAAATCAGAAGAATGTTTTTACGCTCACAAAGACGTGTGATTTGTTGAACGCATTTTGATTTTAACATTATCGAATTGTGATTTCCTGTTCGTCTTGTACTTTTTATTTAGTACAATAATGTCCTTACAATGAATAGATGCCAACGTTTCGTCGTGGATTCCAGCTGCAAACCGGAAGATTTCGTTTAGTTTCAAAGGGAAAGTGGTTTTTTAGGCTCATACAGACATGTAATTTATTGAACACGAGCAATATGGGTTTTTAAAATAATAAGTTAAGTGCGTTATTGGGAATAATTATTAGGAAAGGGTATTGCTCCAGCAGGTGCAGAGCTCGCCGTTGGAGAACCTGGCACTGGGCTTTCTGTTGTAGAACTAATCACAGAGCTTGTTGTTGTAGGGTTCGTCGATGCATCGGTGTTATCTACAAATTCAACACGATTTGGTAGGAATGCATTGATTACCTGTTGGACTTGGATCATACCAGTCAGCTAGGAACAAATTGAGTTCAGTGCTCGAACCATTTCTGCTGCTACCCCAAACCTAGGTTTTCAATTTTCGGGTTTTGAAATAAGTTATACGACTTACAAGTTTGGTACCTCCATAGTTCATCATCGGAAAAGCGTCAAACATTCCCACGTCATACGTAACCTGTCAGAATTGTTTTTCAGTTCTCAAACAATTCCGTACTCTCTCCAATCCTGTCCCATCGTCGTTGATCAGAAATAGATCGAAAGCCCCAAAACCAATTGTTGAGTTAAGTGAATTGAAATCAGTCGAGAAGATGACCTAAAGCTTTTCTTAATCTAAAATAAATTTTTTCCTTGCCGGAAGTGTCGAGCGCGCTTTATTTTTTAGCTTTTTTATACTTTTTGTTTTTATATTTTTTTAGCTCTCATTTCCTATGGATCCCAATCAAAAAAAAACTAATATTTGGAACGTTCCCGTATTCTCCACTTTAGCCCAAATTTGTTTAGATTTACTATTAGATTCAACAGTTTACTCATCTTGGCAAAAACTATGCAGCAAAATCTGACCTCAACATTATATTATCGACTGAATTTTTTAAGCTATTAAAGGCTCAATTGGCAGCAAAATCGGGCTTTCTTGTTTTCACAATGTGTGTCAACAGCGATCAGCTGTTTTCCCTTTAGCTTGTTGATTTCGATTTGTTTGTTTCAAGGGACGAGTCACCATTTCTTTCGACGAATTCGATTTTCTCAAAGCTACTTTATTAGTCAGACTTATTTTTTGAGTATATTTTTGATGCAACGGTGCGAGTAGATGATGCAATTTCGACATTTCGATAGGCTCAGACGGGAGTCGCCATTTTTTACAGATAGTAAATCACCGAAAAGCCGGCATTAAAGAGGTGCTAGCAAAGCCCCTTTTTCTCTCAGATAACACTTCTGAGATTTTTCTTGATTAGAAAACTCACAAAAATTGAAACATTTCATAGCTGATCATTGAGCTTTTCTAGAAATTTGAATTTCTAAATAAAATTTGAATTTCTAAATAAAATTTGAATTTCTAATAAATTCAGATCGACTCAAACGGGTAAATGATGATGATTTCTTTGTGTTTTTCGATTTTTCTTTTGTCAAATCTTATCCTTGGCGATTTGCAATACCCCAAAGAGAAAAGATTGAAGAATGTGAGACAGCTGACTTTTGGTGGTCAAAATGCGGAAGGATATTTCAGGTTAGTGAGGGAGATTGCTTGAAACTGCTTGAAATCTTGTTCCCATTCTAGTTTCGATGATAATTTTCTAACATTTCAAGCGAAAGGTCTCGATGTTTATGGGACGGATTGTGATCAGGTAGCGTTTAAATGCTTTTATTTGTGGTCAGGCAGCGTTTAAATGCTTTTATTTGTGATCAGGTAGCGTTTAAATGCTTGTATTTGTGGTCAGATAGCGTTTAAATGTTTGTATTTGTGATCAGGTAGCGTTTAAATGCTTGTATTTGCATATTTGCATATTTGCATGATTTGTTCTACGGTAGAATACAAAATCGATACAGTGAAGGATCAAAAAGCTTTGAATTAGATTTATCGATTGGATCTTCGACTAGCCGCCGACGAGCAAACCCCTCGCCGAATCAGTAACGGAATCGGTGGCACAACGTGCTCATTTTTCTACCCAAACAACCAGCATGTACTGTACGCCGGGAATTTTCACAAGGTAAGGCACTGAAATCCGTAGAATTCAGACAATATCCACTGCTATACTGGATATCAGTAACGAATTTTGAAATTATTGAACACCCTGTATAGGGGAGGCGTTTGTCTTCATGATATCCCCTATCGAGTGATGGTTTTAGTATAGCACCGTCATCTTACCGCTAATAGAAAATTCAGACAAAGATCAACCGAAACAATACCGATATGAATTCGTGCCCTGTGCCAAAGTGTAAATCACCAGAAGCCATCACCGATCCAGTTCTTCAAAATCTTTGTATTTCATTGAATTGTTGAATTTCATATTTTATAAATACCCAGGCAACACTTCGTACACGTGGGACATTTTCCCAGATTTCGATATTTTCAAAGTGAACGAGTACGGGAATATCATCGATCAATTGACCGATTCTGACGGTTACGATGCCGAGGGGACACTGTCACCCGATGGGAAAACGGTAATTGACTATTGCAGTATTCTATTGCAATACTATTGCAGTACTATTGCAGTACTATTGCAGTATTCTATTGAAGTACTATTGCAGTACTATTGCAGTACTATTCCAGTACTATTGCAGTATTCTATTGCAGTATTCTATTGCAGTACTATTGCAGTACTAATTTGGTTATGGGTTACGGTAGTCTGGTCACGCTTTAAAGTATCCTCTTATTCTTCGTCTTATCATTCTTTCTCTAGATCGTTTTCACCTCGCTGCGCACCGGCGATCCCGAGCTGTGGCTGATGGATGTTGACGGGAAAAATCAGAGACAAGTACGACGTTTTGATTGCTTAGGTTAAGAAAAAGATTCAGAATTATAGATTTTTAAAGCTACTGTAAGCTACTGTAACAATAAGCTACTGTAACTGTAAGCCACTGTAACTGTGAGCTACTGTAACTTAAAAGCTACTGTAACTTAAAAGCTACTGTAACTTAAAAGCTACTGTAACTTAAAAGCTACTGTAACTTTAAAAGTAACTCTGGTGTATTTTTTAGTTAACAAACGTCACCGGCTACGATGGTGGAGCGTTTTTCTCGCCAGATGGCACGAAACTCGTTTTCCGAGCATCTCGCCCAATAAGCGCTGACGATTTGAAGAAATACAAAGATCTTTTGAAGTAAATACTAAAAGAAACGTAAAAAGAACTCTTTTGCAGATACAATCTTGTTGCTCCGACGCAAATGGAGCTTTTCGTGATGAATGTTGATGGGAGTAATATGAGACAAGTGGGGAACAAACAAACAAACAAACAAACAAACAAACAAACAAACAATTTTAGATCACACATCTTGGAGGCGCCAATTGGGCACCATACTATTTGCACGATTCGAAAAGGATCCTTTTTAGGTAATCTATTGATTTCAATCTCAAACACAGTCAAAAACATTTCACTTTAGCTCTGACTTTGCTTCGGCGACTGGCTTTGGGGCATTTGATTTGTTTTTGATAAACGAGGATGGCACGGGTCTTGAGCAGGTAAAAAAGAGTTTAGCAAAAGATATGTAAAACAAATTAGGTGACTTTTGACGACAATCAATTCGACTCGTTCCCGATGATCAGCTATGCTGGAGACAAATTGGTAAGAGAAAAAGGGAAATTGAAAATTGAAATTCCCCGACTTTCAAGGTGTGGGCGAGTAGCCGAAATGGTGGCAAATACGATTTGAATTTGTTCATCGCTGATTGGGTGGACAATCTCGATAACAATGAGATTGATGAAAGTGAACAGGTTGAGAGTAAAAATAGAATTCCGTAACTGCTCGAATTTTTAGAAACAAAAGCAAGGCGATCAAGTGAACGTCCCAAAATGGCAGGTGGGGAAAATAGCCAAAGCTTTGCCATTCAAAACACGACTTTTTTGCAGGACATCGAAACCGTTCCCTATGACGGAGTCGTCCATTTCGATGGGGAAATCCATTTACGGAATGTTAAACAAATCACTTTTGGTGGACAAAATGCTGAAGGGTATTTCAGGTGAGGAGTCGATTTCTCATTAAAATTGGTCGTCACTATTGTGGTTAGAAGGCACTTTTTCTTTTCAAAACCACTTTTTCTGGGGTAGTTTTATGCGTAGAGTCCAAAAAACACAACGAGAACTTTGGAAAAGTCGTCTTAAGCCGAGTTTCGGGACTTCAAAGTGCGCGCTCATCCAGCGTGATCCGCTCATCCAGCGGATACACTCAGGGAAGAGGTCTAAAAATGATCTCTCAAAACATTTTTTGAAGCCAAAACACTTCTTCTGGCATAATTTAACCTACTGATTATGTTTCTGATCAAATTAGAGCAAAATAAAAAAAAAAATTTCCAAATTTCTCATGTGGTCCCCCACATGAGTCAAAATCTCAAAGATTTTTCAATTTCTTTTGCCTCTACCAGTCAATTTAAGTTAGAAAATGAATATTTGGTGGTTAAAAATGGTTTTGGTTCTAGTTTTAACCTTGAAAAGTACCCCAATGGTCGATAGCTTGGGCTCCATTTAATGACGTACACTATAGAAGTGTGCACTTTGGAGCCCCGAAACTCGGCTTAAAACGACTTTTCCCAAGCTCTCGTTGTGTTTTTCGAAATCTACGCATAAAACTACCCCAGAAAAATTGGTTTTGAAGAAAAAAAAAGTGCCCCCTAACTTTATTAGTACCGAGAAAACTACTAAAACTCACTTACTTGGTTACACAATTTGATCGCGCACTTTGGAGCCCCGAAACTCGGCTTAAAGCTTCCTTTCCCAAGCTCTCGTTGTGTTTTTCGAAATCTACACATAAAACTACCCCAGAAAAAGTGGTTTTGAAAAAAAAAGTGCCTCCCTTTAATCTTAACAGCGCTATAGTTTATTTTGCTCTTCGAGCTCTATAAATTGCCAGTAAAAAGAGAAAAAGTAAAAGCAACAAGTTGTGTTTGCATATAACTTGCAAATTTTTTTGTGCAAAAAGTATAGAGTATACTGTACTCTGCTTTTTCAGCTTCGACGATTCCCGATTGACCATTCAAGCCACCGGAATGGATCGCTATGGAACAAGTTGTGATCAAGTACCATTCAACAATTTTATACTTTCATAAAAAAGTTATTAGATTTACCAAATCGATTTGAACCACGATCCGAGATATCAAACGTTATCCCGAATGTCGACGGGAATCGGTGGCACCACTTGCTCATTCTATTTTAACGAAGATGGCAATAGGCACAGTCTTTATGCTGGGAACTTCTGGAATGTTGGTTTTAAAGAAACAAAACATGTCTACCATAATGCGATTCAGTGGACAGTTGACGGGCATACACCAGTGAACAATTGTCCAATCAAGAAGTGCGCACAGAAAAACATCACCGACCCAGTTTTGAAGCAATTGTGCGACACCGAATACACATGGGACATTTACCCGGATTATGATATCTTTAAGGTAATACAGCAGATTTTCGTTTGTCTAAAAATTAATTAGGTTAACGAATATGGGAATGTCGTTCAACAGTTGACAAACGAGCCCGGTTATGATGCTGAAGGAGTGGTAAGGGGAAAGTCTCTACGAAATGAGCTCAAAACTTGTCTTAGGTGAGTCCCGATGGGAAACTGATTGCCTTTACATCATTGCGAAGTGGGGATTTGGAGCTGTGGATTATGAACAGCGATGGGACAAATCTACGACAGGTAAAAAGCTGGTGCAAGGGTTACGATACCTTTTTTAAACGCTCCAAAAGAATGGTTTAAAAGTACAGATAACGAATGTGACCGGCTATGATGGAGGCTCGTTTTTCTCTCCTGACGGTAAAAGGCTCATCTTCCGGGCAAGTCGACCCAAAACACCTCAAGAAATCGATACTTATGAGGTTGTAAAGAAAGACATCACACAAAGACTTGAAATCTTTAGAAACTACTCAGTTATGGACTTGTGGCGCCAACAAAGATGGAACTGTTTGTGGTGGATATTGATGGGAAAAATCTCCGCCAAATAACAAACCTCGGTGGCGCTAGCTGGGCTCCATACTACCTTAACGACAACAAAAGAGTAATTGAAAGAAGCACCATTTTAGATTGAGAAAAGCTTTAGGTTATCTTCTCGACTGATTTCAATTCACTTAACTCAACAATTGGTTTTGGGGCTTTCGATCTATTTCTGATCAACGACGATGGGACAGGATTGGAGAGAGTACGGAATTGTTTGAGAACTGAAAAACAATTCTGACAGGTTACGTATGACGTGGGAATGTTTGACGCTTTTCCGATGATGAACTATGGAGGTACCAAACTTGTAAGTCGTATAACTTATTTCAAACCCGAAAATTGAAAACCTAGGTTTGGGGTAGCAGCAGAAATGGTTCGAGCACTGAACTCAATTTGTTCCTAGCTGACTGGTATGATCCAAGTCCAACAGGTAATTAATGCATTCCTACCAAATCGTATTGAATTTGTAGATAACACCGATTCATCGACGAACCCTACAACAACAAGCTCTGTGTCAGGTTCTCCAACGACAAGCTCTGCGACTAATTCCACAACACAAAGCTCAGCGCCAGGTTCTACGACAAGCTCTGCGCCTGCTGGAATAATAATCTACCCGTTTTTCCTAATGGCACTTAGCTTATTATTTTAAAAACACTTTGCAAATCCATATTGCTCGTTTTCAATAAATTACATGTCTGTATGAGCGTAAAAACATATTTCTCTTTGAAACTTAACGAATCCGGTTTGCAGCTGGAATCCACGACGAAACGTTGGCATCTATTTATTGCAAGGACAATATTGTACTAAATAAAAAGTACAAGACAAACAGGAAATCACAATTCGATAATGTCAAAATAAAAATAAGGCACAATAAAATCAGTGTATAGTACAAAAAGTGAATGCTTTGCATAAACAGTAATTAGGTCGTCGAGCGACGAAAAGTGATGACGATTGGAAGAGATCACTCGAGGAGCTCGAAGTCAAGCCGAATTGCATTTCTTTCGGAGCAGTTGGCAAACCTAAACATATCATACATTTTAATGACGTATTATACTAGTCCTATGATGTTTAGAGAAATTTAGAGCTTCAAAACGGGCCATCCTAAACAGTTTCAATTAGATAAAAGCAAACTGTCAATAATGATTTCAATGACCCATAGACTTGTTCAACAGTTCAAAATCATGATCGTTTGATGGTCTATTTAGAGGACATACTAATAGAGAAAGCGGTACTAATAAAGTTAGGGGGGCACTTTTTTTTTCTTCAAAACCACTTTTTCCGGGGTAGTTTTATGCGTAGATTTCGAAAAACAACGAGAACGGAAAAGGCGTTTGTAAGCCGAGTTTTGGAGCTTCAAAGCTCATATTGTGTGATGAGAGGGATACACGTAGGGAAGAGGTCTAAAAATGATCTCTCAAAACATTTTTTTTGAAGCCAAAAACACTTTTCCTGGCATAATTTAACCTACTGATTACGTTTCTGATCAAATTGGAGCAAAATAAAAAATATTTTTTTTCCAAATTTTGTGGTCAAGAGCCAAAATCTCAAAAAATATTTTTGATTTGTTTTGCCTCTACCAGTAAATTTAAGTTAGAAAATTAATATTTGGTGGTTAAAAATGGTTCTGGCTGTGTTTGACCTTGAAAAGTACCCCAATGGTCGATAGCTTGGGCTCCATTTAATGACGTACACTATAGAAGTGTGCACTTTGGAGCTCCAAAACTCGGCTTACAAACTCCTTTCCCAAGCTCTCGTTGTGTTTTTCGAAATCTACGCATAAAACTACCCCAGAAAAAGTGGTTTTGAAAAAAAGAAGTGCCCCCCTAACTTTATTAGTACCAAGAAAGCTACCAAGAAACTAAAAATTACTTACTTGGTTACTAAAAACTAAAGAGACAAACCTGATAGTAGAAAATTTCACGTCCCTCCTTTGTATCATGTTCAATCTTCTCGGCTGGTATGCTCATTATTCTAAAATAAAAAGGCATTGCTAAGCAAATATCGTTTCACACTAGTTTTTAAAAAAACAAAAGCAACTTACTGTGAGTTGGTGAAGTGTTTGCCTCCAACCGCGACCACTGTAACAGTCGGAGACTTCGGTTTGATTCCAGTTACATTAATCCGCAGGTTACGTAGTCGTGAAGTGAAAGATGACGAAAGCTTCGAATCCATGAGGGCCTAAAAAACAAAATATTAGAGTGTGAAGTGCGAAAATCAAAACGACCGTAAAACATCGTAAAACAAAACGTAAAACTTTCTGAGCAGATGGTTTTAAATTTTAAAAGCTAAAATAAGAAAGTATTCAGCTTATTAACAAACAGCTTGAACATTTGTGAGCATTTTTAGTTGTTGTTTTAAAAGGCATGTTGTAAACAGGCTTCCAGATGGAAAAAAAGCAGAAAATTTAATATCCTTTAAGGGGGTGGGACAAATGCGACCTTTCTTTTGCGCATCTTTTTTTGCTGGAAAAAGCCTTAGGAAAGGCCGTAGAGCTTCAAAAATGTTTTCCTATAAGGGAATCGTATGCGTAGATTCCGAATTGCGATAAATCAAACCTCGCTGGCCGGTCAAATTTGTCGAATTCGGAAACTACGCATACGATTCCCTTATACAAAAACATTTTTGAAGCTCTACGGCCTTTCCTAAGGCTTTTTCCAGCAAAAAAAAAGGTAGCATTTGTCCCACCCCGATCCCTTAAAAGAAAAACTCAACAAATTGGGCAGCTACGTTTTTCCGCTTTTTCAGTAGCAGTGCGTAGCTGCCCCATTCGTTGGTTTTGCTTACAAGCCTGGTTGTAAAGCACACACGTTCGAGGGCTCGTGCGAATGTTCACACGTTCAAGTGCTCTAGAGTTAGAATTAACATTCTTGAGCGTTCACAAGTTCGAGAGATGTAGCGTCAGGATCCTCCTGCTTGCGCCACACATACAAATTTGACACTTGCGCCAGCCATTCAAAAGCAAAATCGACGGCAGTCCCCATTTACGCCGCATTGCCTTTTTGTTGCGTAGACTTGCCGAAAATGTAACTACCGTAATGTATAGACCGGCCCTGGCACGTAGTCTCTGTACCTCTTGCTCCTCGCAATATGCTCCCGAAAAAGCTTTACTCAACCTGATTTATGATCTTTCTCTAATTTAATGTGCTGTTCATAAGATTTAAATGTAGATCTAGAAACCCCCATGATGTCGAGCTTTCGAGGATTCATCTTGAAGAAGACGAAACCTCTCGGAGCATGCATTGGGGGATGTCCAATTTGTCTACAACACTACTCGCAACGAAAACCACCGATGGTTTATGGGACATCTAGTTTAAAAAAATGTTTGCTTTAGAGAATCTGCACTCATTGCGACGATCACATGGTTTGTACCGATTGTGTGGGAGGGCTGGTCGGTTACACAATTAAGAATTTTTCAAAAGATTTTTGTTTAGGAGAAATTTGACAAATGTCCCTTGTGCCGCCACGAGCTACGGGAATTCGAAGCACGAGAAGTAATGGGAGAAGCGCTTTTATGTTAGTTATTTTTATCATGTTTGTTAGCAAAATTGAGGAAAGCTAGAAGGGCAAGGATAATTTATCTATTTTTTTAGCTAAGGCTCGCATTATTGCTAACAACACGGTGACAGGAGTTCGCGTAACGCAAAGAATGCTTTCTCCCACCGCACATGCAACGGTATTTTATTTTCATTTTTGGATGGACTTCGAACGTTTCAGGAAAGCTTTCCCAAGTGCTCAAAATGTTGCAAGAACATCTACGCCATGGAAGAAGCATTCACTTGTCTAAAATGCACAAAGTGGTATGAAAGATTTTGGGCCTCAAACGAAGAGCTTACTGTGGAGATATTAAAGGTTGAACTTTTAAGTCCCATGTTTCTATTATTTTTTTAGGAAGCATTCTGCTACGATTGTCATCTGCGGCATACAAACTCGATACATTCGTCAAGTCCTCCTAGCAAAGTCAAATGGTTTATGAGAAGTCTCAGCGAAGTGCTTTGTATGTTTTTTCTTTTTCCTTTTGAAAAATGATTTAGGCTTGGACATTTTTGGAACTGAAGGTTCATATGCTTCACTCGACAAACTCGTCACACAATCACTGAAAGATTCACGCCAATATGACTTGATAATCTTCGCCCAAATCTTCATTCAGGCGATGACAAAGTATTAATTTACACTAGTGTTGTTGGGCTGGTTATCAGTCGGTCAATTTTAGCATTCCCACACGTGAGCAAAACACAGACCGGATCAAGAAGACGTTGATGCTATTACCGGTTATTACTTTTAAAATTCCCTCTGATATTTTATAGTTAGACGGAGACCAAAAGATTTCAACTTCTTTTCGACTATGTAGATGGGGGCATCGAACGTCTATCGCAATTCCAGCGCTACGAAGTGTCTATTTGGAGTCGTTTGATGGTGCAAGCAATTCGCCGTTTCACTGTTGATTCTCAAGTCGAAGAAAGCTATTGTTCAATGTTGGCTCGCAATCATCATCAACTTCTATATCTTCTAAAAAGCCAGGTATCAAATCTAATATGATAGTATTTACTGGTTTTTTGGTTTAGGATTGTCAGCCACTCCAAGAACAAAGACAACTGATCGCTAAGCTGAGCTTGGGAGAGTTGGTAAAGCTTTCTTTTGATCATTTTGATTTCATATTCTTTTTGCAGACACCACACAATGCGTTTGCACTATTAAACGCCAATGTCGACTTCTTCAGGCCATTTGAAAGAAATTTGATTGTTGAACAGGTTTGGCTTCAATTAATATGTTTGTTTTAATTTCACTACTAATTATAGTGTTTGCGCATGATGACGAACGAAGCTGAGGGTATTTATGCAAAGGAGCTGCTAGCAAAGTTATGGCGATTTACGAGCAGCCTTTTAATCGTTGAGAAAGCCGAAGTAATTCTGAAAAATAACATGTAACTAAGTAATTCTTGCCTTTTTAGCATGTTTTTCTTTTAAATTGCCCCTTGAATGTAATTTTATCGCTTAGTAATCATGTACCTAATCAATAATTTTAAAATCTTTAATATGTTCATGTGTATGTCATAAAAATTTGAGCTCAATGAAGCACAACAACATTTGAAGACCAGACGGGGACGCTTTCAAAATTTGATGGAGTGAATGTTTAATTTCGAGCATATAGTACCTGTTTTTAAAATTTATACGAGACGTCAGTATCAATATGAACACAACAATACACAAAAACGGCCAAACATCGGTGGTCTATGCACAAAGCGAGTTGTCGGCTTTTATCGAAGAAATCGCCTCACTTTCGTTGTACTTCACACATACACAAGAATCAACCAAAGCTACAAGATCACATCACTTTCGTTGTATTTTACCAGCAGTGGAATGATGATCCCTAAACAGCAAAGAAGTTGATTGGGTTTTGAAAGTCGATAATCGATAACCATTATAGAATCTTACTTGATGTGAACGACGCGAGGTGCCGATTTTGAGAGTGTCATACTAGGGAAATTGCGTTTTCCTGAAGTCGAAGCGTTCGCACTAAACGATAAAATTAACTGATGGCATTTACAGCTTTAGGCCCTTTTCCTAAAGATTTTGACTCTTTCACCTTGTTCGTCGTTTATGATCCATCAAATCCGTCACACACAACCAGCTTCCAGCCAGAGTCCACATTACTGAAGGGCGAAACAGCAAAGTTCGATCGTGTGATTGACATATCGCACGTCTGGTGCCATTTTCCCTCTCGAATGTCGCAAAACTCAAGGTCCTTCAAGCGATTTGTTCCATCATAGCCAGTTTCAAATCAATTACTCAGAATTCGAGCCTAAAATCAAAGCATACATCCAACCGCAGCAATCACGTGGTCATTGACATTGACATTGACACAGTGCCGACTCCCATCCTTCTGGTGTTCATTTGATTCTCCTGTATTTTGGACACTTCGGCGCTTCGCACCCTCGTACTTCCGTTGAAACTAAAAAGGGTTGTTAGTAACGTTGATAGCACAAAAACTAACCCTCCAGCTGCAAAGATGTGATTTTTGTCGTATGCACAAGTGCTAAAATAACATCGATGTTCGTTCATTGCTCCCCGATGTTCCCCATTTCTAAACAAAGTTTCTTAAAAAGCGCAAAAGTACCCCAAATAGCAAAGTGTCCATATTGAAAGAACGAGTGTATGAGAGTAATTAGTGCCATCAAATCCACCAATTACAAAGAGTTGCCTTCCAGCAAGCACTTAGAACAAATCTTATCTTAATTTCAGTCCAGAGACTCCCACCAATCCATGATATGTCCGATGTTGTTGAAGCATGGTGACCGGAGCGGGAATCCATTGCTTCGTTCCACTTTTTAGTGACATTTGTTGGACCGTCGCTGACCAGCCTCCTGAAGTTTAGGTAGTTAAAGAAAACTATAAACCACCCACCAAGCGACCGAAGAATGCTTTGTGGGACACGTGCTTTGAATACAAGATTGTGGGATCTAAAACAAATCATAGTCAATGATTAGAAGTCAAACGTACTTGTCTTCGGTCAAATCAAACGTAGTCAAACGTACTTGAAGCGCGTGTGCTCGTCGACAAAACTTCGAAATGAAGCGTTTTGTGTGTAATCTTGTGTCTAAACAAGTTGATTTTAAATTTGTAACTTTAAGCGGACAAAAAAAATGCCAAATCAAACTTACATCAATCCATCCTTCGACGGCGGCCGCTTCTTGATTCATGGGAATGTTCAGATTTGGTTCCAGCATCAAAAACGTTCCATTCCAGAGCATGTTAGCTGTTTGTACTCTTCTGTCTCCAACAACTAAATCAACAAACAAACATTGACTGATGTTTAGCGATAAAATTATTAAAAAGCTTACAACAGGGAAATCCTTGACCATGACGCTCCAGATTCGATGCGCAAGTGGAACGCTACGCCTTTCAATGAACCTAAAGTTGAAATATTGCAGTAAGCGACAGTAAATAAACCTGTAAACGGCAATAATTCGATCAGCAGTTTGTTGACGAACGAGCGTGTCGGAGAGGCACATTACAAGCTCGTCCATTGACAAATATGTGGCCGTATCGAGCACCTAAACAAAGAGTTTAGAAGATCAAACTTGAAACGGATTTCTAAATGATCATTCAATCGACAAGTCGTCCTGAGTGAGAGTTCATCGAAGTGTTCGTTCGAGTCTCGATTGGCGAGCTTCTCGCATAGTTGCACACATTATGCCAAGGCTTCGGCGGTCACGTTCACGCGGCTAAACAAACAAATATTGCCAATTGCTAAAATTAAATGCTTCACGACTTTATCTCCTTGTTCGGTCCATGGTCCATCGAAGAAGGTCCGGAAAAACATCGAACACTCTTCCATCGATTTTCGCGGCATGTACATTTTATTTGATTTTTTTCGAATGCAAATTTCCCAAAGTAATTTTGCGAGGTGACAACAGAGCCCAATAAAATCGCAAAAGATTTCGTAGTGATTTTTATCCAATGAATGTTCTTTCTCCATGCTATTGTAATTTTTGATCTATAATAGACAGGTAAAACTTTATCGCAGAAAATACAAAAATACAAACACACAAATCACATAATACGCAAGTTAATCACAAGTTCCATAATAATTTAAATGCTTACACAAAACAAGCTTAAAAACTATTTCTTTGATTGGTTCGCGGATGATTGAGCGCGAGTGACACGGCTTGTTGTTGGTGCGTCACTATAAACAATAAGCGAATCAAATTGTAGCATGCGGAATGATACCTCTGTGGCGAGGGTAGCTTCGCTTGGCGTAATCCAGCTTTCAGCAATTCTTTGTTAGCTTTGGCAAGCGTTTGTTGGTACGCCAGCAGCTAAAGCAAAATTTATTGCAAATCAAGTAAATCAAGTACTCACCTGGTTTTTCAATTCGCTTTTTTCCGTAAGAAGGCGCTGCATCTCGTGGATTTTTTGAGCTGTGTTCCGGTGGCCCACCTCCGAGGTTAACTGAAATAAACTAATTTATACAAAAATAAACGATGCTTACTTTTTTCTTAGTTTCTTCCAATTCCTTTGTCAAAACACCGATCTTCTCGTTGGCTAGTTTCACATTTTCCTCATTTCGTTCAAGAGCCATGATCTTTGTTTCCAAGTCCCTTCTCTCAACTTCCAGTGATCGATTCCTGTCGAGTGCCTCCTGCAGATCGTGTCGTTGCGAAGAAAGTTGAGAAGCAAGACTAAAACAGGTTTAATGTTAGAGAGATTTTGGTTTAAGCATTTACCTTTTCTTCTCCAAGTCCTGATCGGCATAGTTCGTGTTGATTGTGTCCAACTTTTTTTGCCACTCCTGGACGGATTGTTCATGTAAGCGCGTAGCCAAAGCCTAAACTGATTGTAAAACTGATGTGATTGTAAAAAGACACACATTCGAAACTAACCTGTCTTTCCTGCAAACTTTCTAACTCCTGTTGATGCGCAGACTCGAGTTTCTGCGTTTGTTTGCGATGTTCTTCTCTGAGCGCTTTCACTTGATCTCGGTTGAGCTGCTTCTCCTTGTCAAGGGCCGCTACAGTTCTTTCATGTGCTACTCGCAACTCTTCAATTTGGTCTTCGAGTTGTTCGTTCTAAAAATACATTTATAGGTAAACATGTTTTATAAAATAAGTACCTTTTCACGAAGTTGCGGAGTGAGTTGTATTTGATCTTTGAGAAGAGCCGCTGTTTTCGTGTGCGCTGACTGAACCTCCATCAGCTGTGACTCAATTGCTTGTTTCTGAATGTAACATACTGGGTTATTTTGAAAGTACTACCTACCTCCTTGACCGAACTTTCTAACTCCTGTTGATGCGCAGACTCGAGTTTCTGCGTTTGTTTGTGATGCTCCTCTCTTAACGCCTTCAGCTGATCTTGGTTGAGCTGCTTCTCCTTGACAAGGGCCGCTGCAGTTTTTTCCTGTGCTATTCGGAACTCTTCAATTTGGTTCTCAAGTTGTTCGTTCTAAAAGTATATAGGTATACATGTTTTATAAAACAAGTACCTTTTCACGAAGTTGTGAGGTGGCTTGTGTCTCATCGTGAAGCAGCTCCATCGTTTTTCTGTGCGCTGACTGAACCTCCATCAGCTGTGACTCAATTGCTTGTTTCTGAATGTAACATACTGGGTTATTTTGAAAGTACTACCTACCTCCTTGATCGAACTTTCTAACTTCTGTTGATGCGCAGACTCGAGTTTCTGCGTTTGTTTGCGATGTTCTTCTCTGAGCGCTTTCACTTGATCTTCGTTGAGGTGTTTCTCCTTGTCAAGGGTCGCTGCAGTTTTTTTATGTGCTACTCGGAACTCCTCAATTTGGTTTTCAAGTTGTTCGTTCTAAAAGAACATTTGTATACTCGAATTTCACAAAATGCATACCTTTCCACGCAATTGCAAAGTGGCTTGTGTCTGATCGTCAAGCAGCTCCATCGTTTTTCTGTGTGCTGACTGAACATCCATCAGTTGTGACTCGATTGATTGCTTCTAAATGTAAAATGGTAATTTTCAGAGTATAATATCTCAACAAAGAAATGGTTATAAACTACCTCCTTAATCAAATTTGCATTCTGTTTCGTCATCTCCAGGTTGTTTCTCTCTAGCCAGCCTATCGTTCTACGTCCTTCCTCCAATTGCTTCGTCAAACTTTCAGCCCGTATTTGTGCTTCTGCTTGAACCGCATTTGCTTGATCCTTTAGGGCCAGAATTTCCTGAAGAAACGATAAGCTATAAGGCATTACGTTTCCATTACCTGATTTTTCTCTTCAATAAGTTGTCTATGATAATTCAGCTCAATTTCTAGATCATTCTCTTTGTTTTCTTCTTGGGAAAATGAGGCCATGTTCTTAACACAAAATTAAGTTAATTATTGCAATGCGTCAAACTTTTTCAGCAATGTACACGTGTGGTGCTACTTCCTCTTCGTCGTCAAACTTGAGTGTTCGTGTTCGGGTCCTTTCTACGGATCTGCGAACTTCTTCCGATGACGCATATAAAGTGCGGCGGCGTTTGGCAGATGTTTTTGGAGTTTGCAAAGCCTATAACTTGCAACTTTTCTTATTCCGTCATAATAAACTTACAAGTCGCTCATCTTCAAAACAAAGCTTTGTTTTCAAAGCGTCGATTTCGGCGCTTTGTTTCAAGGTCAACCGTTTAAACGCTTCGTTTTCTTCTTGAAGACTTTGTAACATTGCTTTGTACTCTAAATCACAACAACATATAAAAGTAAATAAATGAGCAAGTACCTAATTGTGCATCTTGGAATTGCTGATTCAGGTTGTTCACTTTGTTGCTCAAAGCCATCACTGTGTTGCCCGTAATTTTCATGTTAACCTAAAGAAAACTGGCATATATTTTTTTAAAAATGGTACTTGAAGATGGTTTTCAATCGTACGGCAGTCACGAGCGAATTGCAAAGAAGATATGATGTTCGTCAAATAACTAAATTTTAATATTTTCTACATCGAAAAGCAAACAAACCTTTTCTCCGAATGAACCGTGACAACAATGGATGTGCGCGCTTTTCCGCCAAGTGAATCCTTCAAGAAGAGAGTGAGCTTCGAGTCCCTGTAGCTGATGACCGACTTCTTTTCTGACAGCTGCCGCATTACACGGGCAAGGCATGTCAAGCTCTAAAGACAAATATAAAAACAAATTTTTGCAAACTAACTATATTGATGGCGATTCCCTCTTTAAACTGCTCGGACCCAACTTCCACGCCAGTTTGTGCAATGCGCTCCGATCCAGCCAAATCAACGAGGTGTAGTTTTGAGGTGCGCCGCTCCGCAAGGTCGTCGACAAGTTCTTCCGTTGTAAGCTGAAACACAAAAAGTGAAATTTTTACACAAAAAAAGTACCTCGATCACGAAAACGCAGTGGGATCGACTCGATGCTCTGTTCATCCTCGTTTCCGCCGTCTTTCTTGCATTCCATCCTTCGGAAAGAAGCTAAATCAATAGTTTGCTAACCTGAAATTTGAGTTCTACCTTCAGAGCTTCCGCTGGGGAAGTAACCTTGAACCGCTTGGAATTTAATCCCGTCGATGTACGAAATTGAAGCTAAACAGAAGTAAACTTTTCTTCAGCAGCACCTTTCCTTACTTTTACGTTGCCATCCAGCAAGTCATACCATTCTTCTTGATACAGCTGCACATAAGAGATGTGCATTTCGCTTTGGAATTCGTCTCTGGTCAGCTAAAAAAGAAACTGGTTCATCAATAACTATCCAAAAATCCAAACCTGGTCGGTCTTGGCTTTGAGGAAACTGAAGAGATCGTCGATACATCTTGGAATTATGCCTTGCTCGTTGGCCTGGATAGTAGAAAAGTCATCAACTTGTGAAGGGCCCACCATTGTGTACGTTTTACCTAAAACGAGTTTTCACTCAAAATAGTCAAAAGTTTTAACAAATTGTGCGAAAAGCTTACCACTTCCAGTTTGTCCGTATGCAAATATTGTTCCGTTGAGTCCAATCGTGATTCCATCGACGACTTTCTTTCCCAAAGCTGTATAGATGTCTGTCTAAAAGAAAAGAATAAAAACGTCTACTTTGCTGTTTTGTTCAAGTTTTAGCATTATTAAAGTTTAGAGTAGCACCATTTTTGCAGACTAGGTTAGGACCCTACTTTGCATGGTGTCCAGCTTGAGAGCCGTACTCTAACTACTTTTTATTATACTGTGAAAATAAATACCTGTGAAGCCGTCCAATCAAAGGCTCTATCCATCTTGTAGTCACTTTTTTCCAGCCTGACCGTCGAATCGCTCGTTTCCACCACCCGATCGTTCCCATCACGTGCTCGGACACAGACAAAAACCCGCTCCATCCCTAAAACTTTTGAGCTGACCAAAAGGAAAACAAAATCAAAAACGCATTCCATCAAGGGTGCTCTAGTAGTTGGGGGGGGGGGGGCAGTTTGCAAACATCAGTTTTTTCGAACTTGCCACTAGTTTTAAAAACTTTTTCTGGGGTAATTAATTGCACGGAATCCATTGAAAGCATTTATAAAACATTCTAAATAGCTTTTATGCCAGTTTAAGCAACAATTCTGAGCCGTCAAGAGTGGCTCTATTTTCACATAGATGTGTGACTAAATTAAGAGGCTTAAAACCTCAGTAGCTGCTTGAAATATCCAGAAAACAGTCACAAAAGCTTAAATAAACACCAAATTAAGAAACTACGCCATTAAAAACCCTAGAAGCAAAAATAGCAAGCTCTGGCTCAATAGAGGTGAATGTACACTGCCCTCCCCCCAACTAATTATAGCACCCAATCAAGCAAATAAGAACGCATTCTAGTTCAGATGGTGCGTATATCAAGCACGAATTAACAATTTTAAGTGATTTGCTTGCGTTATCTTTTGAATAAGTTATGCCGTTTAAATTTTTCTAGTACGCGGTTAAATGAGAGGATGTATCCAGGATTTAGCACGCAAGAAAGCGAACTGGGGGTTCAATTGGAAAAGCTCAGAGCAAGGAGAGCACGCAAAATGCAAGAATGGAAGTTTCTCTGGTCGCCTTGAAAAAGAAGACAAAAGTGCGACATAACTTTGTTCACAGAAGTCTCAACAAAGTTACAGATATTGAGTTTTTTAATTGAAGTTCAACTTTCTCGTTGAATACTTTGTCATCCTGTAAACTAATAGGTTCTAGACCTATAAACTAATAGGTTCTAGACCTATAAACTAATAGGTTCAACAGCATCATCTAGACGGGATAGGTTGACTTTTTCCGTTTTTCAATCAACTTGGTCTTTTTCTTCTCTGGTAGCGTTTTAACGCACTTGATAAGATCATGTACCTGCCTAGATAGCTTTCCAAAGCAAACACTTCATAACAAATGACAATTTATTTCTGAAGTTTTGGCATATTCGTGTAGCTTCCATTTGTTTCTCCTCGTTACATCGACGATAAAAAAACGTGTTTGCGATATTAAAAAGTCTACTTTAAATGAGCTCTTTCAATGAAGAAGAATTGGCGGCCGGGGAGGTGAATCCACTCGACACATCGGTAAACAATTTGGGCGGTTAGAGATTAAAAATTTTTTTAGGTAGACGCACATCAGCTAGCGCTTATCCGACCGAGAAACGAATTCTTCTGTGAGATTTGCCGAGCAAGACGCCCAGGTAAAGATAATTTTGAGCTTACATCTAACGTTACAATGTGTAGGTCGCAAATTCTACACACCGCTTGATCGTCAGGAACAGGAAAACTGGTTAATTCGTCTGAATTTGCCCATCGATCGAGCAGCCGTTTTGCGGTAGGTGCTTTGAGAAGTCCGGCTTTATTAAAACCAAATTTTTGTTGTTTCTAATAATATAGTAAATCTTTTTAGAAATCGTATGGATTTACGACAAGTTGTAATGTGCGCTCTTCATTTTCCCCCGGAAACGGCCGAACACGAGACGGCGAATCTCATCCCCCCAATGGACCTATCGATAGAAGAAAATCGAAATGTCAGTTTGAAACTTTGAAACTATACCCCAATCAGATAAAACGCTTTGCACAAAGGATTGCAAAATGTACTCTATAGCTAATTAATCCTTATTTCTCAGCTTTTTGCACAAATGGAACGCGGTTTACTGGCGGTGACTTTCGAGAAAGGACAACGAACGAAATTGGGTGATAAAAGGACACCAAGTAGCGAGGTAGATAAGCCAAAAGTTTTAAAACATCAAATTATCAGAACCTAATCACAATTCGGACAAATATGCGCGGGCGCCCAAAACGACAACCGGATATGCCAAAAGCAAAGTAATTTTTACGACTTTAACAACACTTTTCTTATTTTATCATTTATTAGAACTTTGAGAGTTATTCTAGTGTTTTCCAGATATCGACCAAACATTGAACGAATGCACGATGTACTCAAGTTTACACGGCCACGCAAAGCACCATCTTTTCTCTACGGTAGCATGGCTTTCAGTCATTTAATATTTAGGTTTAGAAAAAGACCTCCTCGAATCACAGTATGTCCTCAGTTTGCTTCATCTAGCTGAAGCCAACTCGCTATCCTTGGTAAGCGCTTCTTTTTCAAAGCTTGACAACCAGATTTTTAGGATGCAACGCTCCTCAACTATGTTCACCGGTTAGCACCAATCAGAATTCGAACAGAAGCGATTCGGAGTAATACAATGTATGAACAGTAAGTTAGCCTGAATGAATCAACTATCTATTAAGTTAGTTAATCAAATTAAACCACTTTTTAGTTTTGTTTGCTCGGCTTGTTCCGTGGTTCGACGAGGTCCTTGCTTTCCATTACCACCACCGGGAAAACGACGCAATGAATGGGTTAATCGACTGGCATTATCAAGAAAAGAGTGGATGTAACATTATTCTCAATTTTGTTTAATACTTCTATTTTAGTGAGCCTTTGGTAGTGAAAGCCGGGCAACTATGTGGGCTGCATTTTGATCCGCTTGTGACTATTGGAAGCTCTTTTGATCCAGATCCCGATCCACTTGATATGCAAAATGCTGAAAATAGACGGGTGAATTGTCGTCATTGTTGGATTTTTAACAATAAATTCATTTAGCTCTTCCGTGATCTATATGAGGGTGAACTAAAAGCTATCAATCACATTGGGCAAGTTGGCAAAGCGGTAGCTTTTAGCTATTTTGGTCCACATTAGTTTTTTTAGAATCAATTTTTCCTTGACGGTCCACACTCAATGCAAGATTACGCCGACATTGTAGAAATGGAAAGTCGCGAAATGAACGAGCTTACGAATTCTCATTCAAGGAATTTGCAGGAGCGTAGATTCAGACAGGTTTGATTTTGAAAAGTAATAGAGCATTTGTTTTCAGGAAAACAACATTGAATATGTTGCTATCAATGATGATCACGATCAGTACAGAGAACATGTTAGCTTTATAATGTTGCTTTGATAAATTTTTTTAGGTAATCGAGGAGGAGATATTATTAGCGCCAAATGATGGCACAACTTTGGTAGTTGATGAACATGGAAATGTTATTGAAACAACAACAGATTCGAGGTTTACCATCCATAGTAGCCAAAAAATAGCCAACAACATTTTAGATACGTTTACATTGATGAGGGAGGAGATGCGCCAATGCAGTATGTTGTGGAATCAGATGGTGAACCAATGCTAGCTCCTTCTAAAGGTAACTTCCATTTTTGAATTACAAACCTACGCTTTTAGCGATTGATAAAATGGAAAAACGGGCAGATTATCATCAAACAAATCAGGTAGAAAATTAATTTAAATAAAATTTCATTTTATGGGTAGATGCACGACAAACCGCCTACTGATTTCACTGAAAGGACGTTGATTTCGACTCAAAAATTGGCAGCGAAAGGTTGACTTGCAAATTACGATTAGTGCATTGTAACTTGCTAGTTTTAGCTCATGGGCGACAAATATCTGAGCATGAAGGCGGTCATTTGAAAGTCGACGATGAACATCTACCCACAAAACGATCGAAGCTGGGAATTCACGATGTTCCCTACAATGTTAGTTTCTAGACGCAAAAATGATGTTCTCGATTTTAGGATGTTGATGAACGTTTCATGAAAGAATATGTTGAAGAAGAGGTGGTAATTGCAGAAGATGTCGTTGGGAATGGAGAAAATGAAGGAGAACAAGGAGAGCTCAATGTTGAAGTAAGCTATCTGTTTAAATGCTATTTTAAGCTCAACAATTAAGGACTACGATGATGACTTGGATAAAGAAGCATTGTGGGATATAAATGGTACTAGATCTGGTAAAAAAATTAACTTGACACTTTAGATGCTGAACCTGGAACTTCGCAATATGTGCAGCATGGTTTGGACATGATTCAACCTCGTCGATATGCGATTAGGCAAGTGAAAGTGCGAAAACCTAATATGGCCGAGTTAGATATCATAAATGTGCGATTTGTGGCGAGAAGAGGGTGAATGTCGACATGCAATCGATCAGCGCTCGTAGTGAGAAACGGCAGCGACTTTGGAAGAATTTACAATATGAGGTTGCAATCATTGCTTATTCTCTCTATGGTAATTTCTATTTTAGGTGAATCCGGAAACGTTACGCGATCTCGAAAACAAAGCACTAATGGGCCAAAGTATACCGATCTGCCAAACGCATTTCCCGCTTGTAAGCGATTCCAATTCATCTTTAACGTCATTTTGTTTAGGAGATGCGTGTTGAGAGAATGCGTCATATTGAGGATGCTCTATTCCCGAATGGGCGACGAAATTTGAATTGCATGGTAAGGGAGTGATGTTTTCAGCTGCATAACATTTGAACAGATTTGTGGTCGAATGGGGGAAGCAGGAAATTTCTGCCAAATGACGAAAGATGGGCAATCAATGTATCGTTTGTTCTCAAAGGTATGCCACCCATATCGACTTATTTTAGAGAACTTTTTTTAGACAAACCTCTCACACCAACAACAGGAGCAACTTCGGACTCTCGTCATGAACAACGAGCTGACTCTGGTGTGCACTGATCATTATGATGCGGTACGTTCATTTTTTAATTTCCATACATTTACAAAGTTTTAAGGCTATCAGACCGAATGCTTTTTTTGATGTCGAATTAGAGCAAGAACTGGTGGATGTAAGAAGGAAACCGCACGCAAAAAGATTGGTTTGTAGAGTTAAATCATCTTTATTGCAGAATTTTAGGAATATTATCGCCAAACCGTTCATTGTGTTCTGTGTGGGAAAGCCGCGGCACGACCAAGTACGAGAAAAATGCCTTCACACGCACGAGCCATGCAAATAGTTTTCGAGTAAGAGCTTATGAAAATTGAGCAATAATTAAAAAATAATCTTTCCAGTTACGCAAGAGTGTCTTTAAATATTCAACAACGAATTTTGGACGAAGTGCGAAGACGTGCTGCTCATATGCCTGTTTGCCGACAACATTTCCCACCGGTTTGTCGCTTTTATTTTGCTTACCAATTTACTTCATGTAGGCTATGCGGCAATTGAGAGGTCGTTATTGGCATCGAGAATTGGAGAAGTTGATTCAAGAGGGAAGTTTCGATGAACCAGTCTCTGGAGTTTGTTTTCTGACTTGTTCTTACAGTAATTGTTTATTTTAGTCAACTTTGTTTGCCGGCTTAAAAGAAGAACCTCAAGGTATTTGTTTTCAATGGTTTATTTACAGTAGTGAAAAAAGTATTGACCGGTCAGTGTTTACTTGGTCATATCTAAATATATTGACCACAAATAGTTTTATGTAGCATTTTCAAAGATTGTTAAAATGAACCATTTAGCTTTTCGATATCCTTTGAACTAAGAGTTTTATGATCGAAAAACCTTATTTGAGCATGATTTTTAAAAATCTGTATTTCAAGAATGAATGGATCCCATTGAAAACGTTTCCAATTACAATGGCATTGGATCTTATCCCATACTTATTTATTCATTTTGTTCTGGTGAAAATGAAAAGCTACTGGCAATTTTGTAGCCTTGAACAAAATCTGAGAAAAAAGGACCTTTACCCTCTTTACCCTGAAAAATTCTATTTAGAGCGACAAATCTAATATCATCTTAAAGCTCTCACAAAATACTACAAAAACTAATTGGGAACGATTTATTTGAATGCGATCTAATGGGAGAAAATGATAAAAAATTGGCCGGCCAAAAATTTTTGACGACTGTAATAATAATTGTTCTAGCATCAAATGGTAGTGACATATCGGACGAGGAAGAGCTTGATGACGAAGAAGAAAAGTTGATCATGGATTCTCCAGAAAGGCTGGTTAGTTGAATTTCTCTTCCAGTTACCAACAAAAAGTTTAGGTGCTTTCTACAGACGCTCACCAAAACGATTCGCGAAAAGATTAGATTATGATTTATGTAACTTTTTCCTAGTCGTTACCAAAGTTATTCACTGATGATGTCATAGGATATTTTTTGCATTGATCTTTAATTCACTTTCTTTTGTATTTTCTGATCTCCTCTCCATTTTTGCGTTTGCTAGGTTGTAATTAAGTCTTCTAACTTATTGCCTAATAGTAGGAATAAATTTTATCATGGACCAAAACAAAAAATCGGTGATGTGTGTACAACATTTCATCACCGTTTCTCGAGACGTGTTTATTCTTGGAAGCCGGCTCATTACTTTAGGGCATTATTTATGATCAATTAGTATCCACCCACAGCAAGGCTCTCACATTGATAAATTGCGGGTACTTAATGGGATCTTCGTGTACTATCATCATAAAAGACTTTAGAAGGAAAGTGTGCTTCTCTCAGATAACGTGTTTTCTAAAACGTATCAACTTTCGAAAACTATCGTAACCTTGATTCTAGTTTTATCCAATTTATCTACTTTTGGCGGGGGTGGGACAAATGCGACCTTTTTTTTGCGCACCTGGACATTTGCGCACCTTTTTTTTGCTGGAAAAAGCCTTAGGAAAGGCCGTAGAGCTTCGAAAATATTTCGAAAATTCTTCCATATAAGGGAATCGTATGCGTAGATTCCGAATTTCGACAAATCAGACCTCGCTGACACGTCAAATTTGGGTTAAAAGGCAAAAACTACAAAAACTAACTAACGCTTTTCCGCAGTTTTTGCCTTTTAGCCCAAATTTGACGTGTCAGCGAGGTCTGATTTGTCGAAATTCGGAATCTACGCATACGATTCCCTTATATGGAAAAATTTTCGAAATATTTTCGAAGCTCTACGGCCTTTCCTAAGGCCTTTCCAGCAAAAAAAAGGTGCGCAAATGTCCAGGTGCGCAAAAAAAAGGTCGCATTTGTCCCACCCCCTTTTGGCATCAATCTAGTAAACCCGTACAGATTGTGAACAAAAAGTAGATCAATTGAAAAAAAACTGCAGCCAAGATTACGGCAGTTTTCGAAGGTTGATACATTTTAAAAGACTCAAAAAGATGATGCCACTTTTTCAGAAAATCATTATTTATCAGCCAAATTTATCCAAATTTTGAAATTCCAAATTTTGAAATTCTATTTCTGATTCTCAAAAATGAATATTTTTAGACTCTCAAAGACATCGGATTTCATATTTCGAAAACAATTTTCCAAAGGGCGGGGTCTTTGAGGAGGATTTTTTTTTGCGGGAAATTTCCCCCCTTTCCTCATCGCTTGAATTCATTCATTTCTTTAATTAGAAACATTTTTAACACATTCTCACACCTTTCATCTCAACTTTTGACATGCAAAATTTTCGCCGATTCTTGAACGTTGATTTATTTTTGACGAGCCTAATTTGACGTTTGTTCATTCATTGGACGAGAGTTCAGTTCTCGGAGATCACTGGCGCTCATTTGTTAGTCAATTTTCTCTTCAACAACCCCTGTTGCCTTGTGGAACTTTTGCGAGCGTCATTTGTTTTTGCTCTTTCATGAAAAAATCTCCTTTAGTCAAGATTTGAGTGTATTTCCGTCGACTAAAGCTAAAACGTGCGATTTCCAAAAAACTATTGTAGTCTTGGCTCTAGCTTTCATCAAGTCTACTTTTGTATCGTTTAGTAATCATTCTGTACCCTCAAAGAATCAGCTTAAACTAGATCCCAGATTACGGTAGTTTTTTGAAAGTCGACACGTTTTAGGAAACAGATTATTTGAGCGTGATTATCTTGAGTTTTCTCCCAATTTATTTGCCTTGAAAAGCGTAGATGATTATGCTAAGTGGATCTCGATTTTCAGAAATCTCAGCAATCCGTTTCCCAGCAAGATGTTCAGCTTTTTGATGTGCTCTCTTTTGTTGATTTCTACTTTAATCTTGGCGGCCACCAGTTACGGTAAGTGATACTATCTTTTTTGGGTTCGTTTGCCGTTAGCAATCTACCGTAAATACTGCTGTAATAGTACCCCACCGCCCTCGTACAGTCGCGTAGTCGCAAAAGTTTTTTAGTATTTCATTTTTTTCAAAGCGCCCGTGCTTTCAAAAAATGCGTCTTTGGTATCAAAAAATAGCTGAAATTCAGGGCTATTTTTTGATACCAAAGGTAATGACGGCGCGGAGTGTTGCGTAGTCTAGCTTTGAACGAGTTTTTCTCGACACTAGTATAAGCTACGAGGCGCGCTTAGGTATCAAAAAATAGCCCTGAATTTCAGCTATTTTTTGATAACTAAACGCGCATTGTAACATAAACCAGTGTCGAGAAAAACTCGTTCAAAGCTAGACTACGCAACACTCTGCATCGTCATTATGGGGGATGGCGTACTATTAAAGTATTTACGGTACATATTTGACTCATATCTTAGCCGGGTTTATTTATAAAACGTTGAATTTGCTTTCATTCGTCTCGAAATCAAGTTTTCTATCGAGTGAAAGCAAATTCAACGTTTGTCAAACAAACCTGGTCAAGGCAGAAGCAAAATTCGTAGATTTCCAACGGCAAACGGACCGAAAAAGGAACGGAACCAACGCTTATGATAGCTTGGATAGCCTTTACGCTTCCTCACTTACTCTAGTTACTGTAATCAAATCAAAATCCTACAAATCAACAGTACTAGGCACATAAATTTCATTGGAAAATCAAATTCTCATACGAGAAAGTATACGTAAACGAAAAAAAAACTTTCTGTACCTCAATCATTCGTTTGTCTAGAACTTAGTTTTCTGCGTAGGATTGAATTGAAAAAAAATTGCATTTCTTTTTTTTTGTCACATACTCGATTCCCATTTCGATATTTCAGTAATCTACGAGCCGGAAGGATATGACGAGGCCTACATGATGAATCCAGCCTATCTCATGAAAAGAAGTCAAAGAGGTAGACAGAAAAAAGTAAAAAAGACATCATTTTTCATAGCTCAATGAGCATGTCTAAAGAAATGAAAAAAGTGATACTAGAATAGGAAATGAAAAATGGAAACAAGCACACTTCTCGATCTATTGGATAGAATAGTTATTGTTTCAGAAATACTTACAATACTTCTTTAGACTTTCAACAAAATCTAGATCTTTATCAGACTGAATACTTAATGCTTGATGTCGAATTCGAGCACCAACTGTTAGCCTACTGAGTTGTAGGATGACAGTAGCTACGATAGGAAATCTAAAGTCTGTTCAGTTAACGCAGGACTTTTCTGAAACCCAGAAACCCAGAAACCCTTCAGATTTACGTTTTAGAAAACAAAAAGACTGTTTGCTAAACTGCAGAACTGGCCGTTTTGGTCTAGTACTGGCCTAGTACTAGTACTGACAGTACTGGTCTAGTACTGGAAAACTGATAGCAAAGGAATGATCAAAACGGGAGATTTTGATGACACTGATTTTGATCTGAAAGGGATGACGCAAATGAGATTTCTATGACATGAAGCCATTCGGCAACAGGGAATCTAATAAGCAAAAGAAATTGGGGACCGGAATTGAACCCGAGAGGAAACATTCGCGGCGGCAGCACTAGACCATTAGATGACCTTTTACCGAGTGCGATAAAGACCTCTTAGCCTTCATGGGTCATTTGGGACATTTGATACACGCGATTGGCAATCCAACTTTAAGCTCAAAATTCTTGGTGTTGGGCTTTTCAATTGAAATAGTTTTTGTACCAATCGATAGAGAAAGACTTGGCGCATCCAATAATATCAACAATATTGAAATTGGGCAGCCCAACACCAAGATATTTGAGCTCAAATTTAGATTGCCAATGGGAAAAGGGTGGAAAATATCAAATGTCAGATAACCTAAGCCTACAGTAGCTGAAGAAGTCTAAAGCTGGTCAGCTACCATAATGATAAAGTTTGAAAAGTTTGGACAAGAGATTTTTTGTTTCTTTTTTGCTAGATGCTAGATCCTACCGTAAATACTGTAATAGTACCCCACTGCCATAATGAGGGCGCGGAGTGTTGCGTAGTCTATCTTTGAACGCGTTTTTCTTGACACTGGCTTATGCTACAATGCGCGTTTAGGTATCAAAAAATAGCCCTGAATTTCAGCTATTTTTTGATACCTAAGCGCGCATTGTAGCTTAAACAAGTGTCGAGAAAAACGCGTTCAAAGTTAGACTACGCAACACTCCGCGCCGTCATTATCTTTGGTATCAAAAAATAGCTGAAATTCAGGGCTATTTTTTCATACCAAAGACATATTTTTTGAAAGTACGCGCGCTTTGAAAAAAATGAAATACTAAAAAACTTTTGCGACTACGCGACTTTACGAGAGGGGTGGGGAACTATTACAGTATTTACGGTAGGTAGATTAAATGATTTAAATGATTTAATGGTCAAATAAGATCAAATGCTTAAACACCAGAGTTCCTCCTTCCTCCCAGACAAGCGAATTCATTTTCCAGCTACTCCCTCCATTCACCCGTACGACATTATCAGCCAACAATTGCAGATGAGCCGTTTGGGAAAATGAATCAAAAACTTTTTTTTTTTGTCAATAATAAGCTTTTGCATCAAATTTTGTCCTTTATTTTGTCCTTTATTTTGTCCTCTATTTTGTTAATGTAAAACGTTTATTATACATTCGTTTCAACACCTGACCGATCATCGTTTGGTGGGGGTGCTTTGTGCTCAAAAATTTGAAACCAACCCTTTCTGGTGCACTCGATTCTTTTCTTGCATTTCATTGCAAAATTCTTCAAGTAAAATGAATGACCAATGCACCAGATGGGATATGTTTCAGTTGAGTACAAAGTACAGTGCAAGTTCACAAAAAAAATAAGTTACCGGTATCTATCGAAAAATTTGAATAGAGAACTTTAGAAATTAATTTGGATCCAGACAAGGGGTACTGTAGATAATCTTGATCCTAGGAGGACCCTAGAGTACTAATAAAGTAAATCTGAACATCAGAAACATCCCTGTGACTTCCAGATAGACTATTTACGTGCCTATCAATTTGGAAAGATATTCATTTCATATTTTATATGGAAAGAACAGTGTTTTTGAAGGTTTTGGATAGTTAAAATTCAGAGATAAGTCTTGTATTATGGACGGTTTTGATTGGTTTTGATGGTTTTGATGGTTTTTCTGAATTTCGAATCGATATCTCGTTAATCAGCCGGTTTCAACATGAGTTGCACATGCAATTCACGTCCATTCACAAAGAGAGATGACTCGCGAATCACCTCGTGAAACGGTAAATCCCCGTCTTTGTGTTTCAAAGCCAACTCGACCGAGTCCCTAGAAAAGAGTACTTAAAACTAAATGCAACAAAACTGCTAGACTACATTTGATCAGCCCAATTTTAGTCTCATCGACTGCGCCTTGTGATTTCTCATCGAATGATACCAAAATTGGGCTTGTTGAATGGAAACTAACAGTATAATTATGGTAGTTTTCTAGAATAGAATTCTAGTGCCTTTTAGAAGCTACACTAGCTGAAAAAAAAGCGCATTCTACTTGTAACTAACAAGGAAATGACACCAGCTTGAAGTTCAGAATAGCTTAGTTCAGAATAGCTGATCAAATGCATCTCATGCTATGCTACGAATCGGCTATGCTGATTTTGAATCTGTAAAAATTAGCTGCAAACACCCACGCGAGGAATCTGGCATAGAAGTTTCCCCTTAAATCTCTGGAAATTCGAGCTGGTGTTATTCCCTTGTGAGCTTTGTACTTGTACTTGTACAATACAATACTATGTACAATACTTGAACAAAAGCAACACTATACCCAAGATCTACCTCGTTTTCCGTGAGCTTTGTACTTGTAATAGTGTACAAGACGTACAATACTTGAACAAAAGAAACACTATACCCAAGATCTACCTCGTTTTCGAGAAATTCTTCCTCCCAGACACCGATCTCAACACTTTCGTCTCGTCGCAAATCGCGAAGAGATAGTCGACAACTCTGAAAAGCTTTGATTATTTCATTCTGTACAATTTCATCATCCATTTTATTCTGTACCTCGATTGATCGATATCTTCTGCTACAAGAATCACCCTTTTTGTCTCATCACCGCTGTAGGCTGAGCCAACGATCTAGAAATTGAATTTTACCCCGTTTAATGCTGTCTTTTCACGTTTCACCTTTAATGACCATCTCCATCCCTCGCATTGAATCGCAGAAGCTCGCGTGAAGAACTGAAATTTAGAAAAGTTAGAGTTAGAGGTTGAATTTGAAATTGAAATACTTGAATCTGGGCCTGGAAATATGGTAAAGTCTCAGTTTGAGAAATAAAACATTTTAAACCCGTTTTAATGCAGAAAAATAATTGACCTTTCTAATGAAACAAACCGTAGTTCAATTGATGCATTTGTTAGTTTTAAACGAAAGTACAAAAAGGAACGAAAAGACTTTCTGGACAGCCAAATATTCCGCTCAAAACTCACCGAAGTACTGATGATTTCCGGTTGACTTCCCTGTGGTTTCCTCTCGAGATCACTTCTCGAGAGAATCAACCGAGCACTCCATCGAACCTCCGAGTAGCAACGAAGGAGAAATTGGCAACCCGTGAATTCTCTGAATAAAAGGGCTTGTTGAAAAATGCTTACAATGAATTTTTATCAATTTTTTTTCAATGTCTGGACTTATCCGGCTTCAAGGTCTACCCCAAATTCAATTATGGAGAGTTGAACTATTACTAAGTTCCGATAAATGTTTTCTTTCAAAGTTCGGGTTCTTTTATCGATGGATTTTGAAGGAAAATCTTGAAATTTCAACTCACATAGCTCCGACTCGTCTCGAAAGTGGCAATGTTTGATATTTGTACGCTTGATAGACATGCGGCATGAGGACAGCTTTCGCCGTTTCAGGAATATTCGCCATTTCGACGTCGACCAACTCCTCACCGGACATGAATGGAAAACTAGAGTTGCAATTGATAGAAAAACGTATTCAGCTTATGCTTAAAAATCTCTACTCAATCTTCAAACTACTTACCGTATTAGGGGCAATAGGGTGGACAAGAGTTTCGTCGCTTGAGCTGGCTCTCGTCGTTGTGGATGACTCGGCGCGTTCAACCACCGCAGCACCGCTGACCAAACTTGGAACTCGTCTAAAATTGTAGAATTGTAGAATTGTAGAATTGTAGAATTGTAGAATTGTAGAATAAATATTATTAGTTAATATTTTAAAGCCTATTTTCTACTATAACTTGGCTTACTATTTACGACGAGCGAATTGTGCCGAAGGATCTCGTCGACTTGCTCAACATCGGCGCTTTCCCATTCCTCGGCCCAATCGTCACTAAAGTTATTCAACTCTAATTATATAATTATTAGATATTAGATAGTAAAGTAGATAAATAGATAATTAGATATCAAAATAACTCAATTGCTAATTTTTGTATGTAAATTTGTGCCATTTTCGCCATTTTCTCATGTAAATTTTCGCTATTTTAGCCATTCTGGCGTTTTCAACTTTCGCGCAGTGAGTTGCGCGCTTGTCTACGGCCCACACGACCCGGGTTCGACTCTCGGCTGTGTCATGGCTTTTGCTTTTTAAAAAAAACGAAATATGAGATGCACAAACACATAGAATTCGAAGCCTAACAAGTTAAAAATAACGTAAATCGGCTCCGAGAACTCGCGCCCACAGACAGACGGACAGATGCTTTCCTTTTATAAATAGTAAATAATACTTAATTTTAATCTAATTATTAGCTTGGTAAATATGAAAGGTTATTTTTTTGATCATTTTTAACATAACAGAAAAATTTATTTAAACACTTTCAAAATCAAATGTATTCACCACAAGCATTAATAACATCTTTCCAACGTTGCCCCAAATCACGAATACCGTCCTCGTAAAGTTGAAGATTTTTAGAGGCAAAATAGTTGGCAACCCAATTTTCGATGTCCTGCTTTTGTTTGAACTGCTGTCCAGAAACTGCTTGTTTCATTGACCGAAAGAGATGGTAATCCGATGGGGCTAGATCAGGGCTGTATGGTGGGTGTGGAAGAAGTTTTCAGCTCAACTTATCGATTTGTTCGTGGACGATCTTTGGAATGTGGGGCCTAGCATTGTCGTGAAGAAATCTGACCTTCGATGGATCGATCCTCTTTTTCCTCAATGCTGGATCGACTCGACCCATTTTCTGCATAAAGTCTTCCGTCAACAGTGTCTCCTTTATCTAGTATTTCAAAATGAGCCAATCCCTTAGCATTCCACCACACACAAAGCATGACTTTTTCGGAGGCTTCGGGATAGGATGAGAGGTCTGCTTCGAACTCAGCCACTGTCCATAGAGTTGAATATTTTCATACGAAAGCCAAGTCTCATCAGATGTCAAAAAATACTCCCTAAAGTCACGATGGCTAGCTTTACGTAGAAGAACAGAGCTCAAGGTGACTCGTGTGACTTTGTGGGCATCAGTGAGGTCGTGGGGGAGCCATTTCCCGCTTCCATATGATTTCGCAAGAACGTGTAAATGGTAACATGAGTGCATCCGAACTTTTCTGCTAATTTTCTACACTTTTGCAATGGATCCAAGTCGACCTCGTTCAGTAACAGCCGATCGTCCAAAGTAATCGGCGGCTTTCCATGTGGTGCATCTTCCAATGACTCGTTTCCCGTTTTCAAGCGATCGTACCAAACACAACATTGTTTGTAAGTAAGAGCAGCTTCTCCAAAAACAGTACAAATGTTCTGATGGCATTCCGTAGCTTTCTTGTTTAACTTGAATTCAAAGAAAATGGCGGCCCTGATTTTAAATTTTTGGTTATCCATCTTTGCCGAGCTGAAACAATACAAATATTATTCAAAACAAAAAAGTTTTTGCAAAAAAAACATGAGCACATTTTAACATATTATTGAGAAAAATCCTAGACAGCGAATGTTCTTCGTAACGACAGGGCAATATTTTTTATAAAAAATAACCTTTCATATTTACCAAGCTAATATATTCGAGTTTAATAATTGTAAACCATTACTCACCTGATCACCGTCTCGAACTCTTTCCCAATCGCTGAGATACAAGCGCGAATCAGTGGCTAAAACAAAATTGAATAAAAATCATAAAAAAACAATTTGAATTTTAAAAGAATTAACAAAAAAACACTTTATAAAAAACAAACTGAATTTAAATTTGTGGTGCTAGCAAAAGCGGCGCATTTTTTGAGCCAAAATCCATTGCGCTAATTTCATTTGCGCCACGTATCATTTGCGCCAAATTTACGCTTATGAAAATCACTGTAACAAATCACTTTTTCCCAAATTCTAACCACTTTTTTTCAGTTTTCTGTTTCACAATTTTAGTTCTCACTGTTTTCAATTAGAAAACTCGTTTAAATACCTATAAAGACCCCAAAAAAACAGTTATTTTTGCGTCCCGGATTGGGCTCTTTTACCCTCTATATCGTTCTTATGCCATTTTCAGAGCCGGTGAAGGCGGCAAAATAGCGAGCATCGTCGGCGAGAAAAAACTGAAGAAAAAAAATATCAAAGCTCAATCAGAGTTGGTAGGAAAGTGTGTTGAAAAACGCAAATTTGGCGCAAATGATACACGGCGCAAAAAATATAGCGCAAATAATTTGGCGCTTTCGCTAGCACCCCTTAAATCTAGCATGATGAAGATACACATAATCAAATTTGCATAAATATCTTTTCCATTTTTCAGCTCACCGGATGAAAAGCTCTTGTCGCATAGCTGAACCACTCGGTGTAGATCTCTTTGAGACTGAGATTCGGCAGGATTTTGTTCACGGCGTAATCTTGGCAAACCTGAAATAGAGTAGCTTCTACTTGATGCATACTTATTTTATAAATGCTCACCTTTTTCAGCGAAGGAACATTGTATTTATCAGCGAGAATCAAAATCGGCAGCGTGTTGTCCGGGTGTAGCAGCACGTGATTGCAATATAAAAAGCGAAGAAAAGCCGCGAAAACTTTCACACATTGTGGCTCCTCGATCAGTTGAACTATCTGAAATTGTAAAAATTTCATATTTTTCAGCTTTCTGACCTTTTTCGTTCCGTCCCACTCGTCGGTAAGCATTCGATCGAAGACGTCACTCCCTCGGGCCAAGACAAGACGGTGAGCCGGGTAGCTGAAAGTTTGAAATCAATACCGAAAATATTTTAATAAAAGGCTTTTTAATGTTCAATCTCATCTTTTTAAGTCAATTTCGGTTCACTTTCAAGCAAATTCGAGAGTGAAAACGTGTTTTTCGTAAAAAAAAACTATAAAAACCTCTACGAAGAAATTGGCTGAATGGATTCCTCTGAAAATTTGGCTATATACCAAACTTTTTATGCTCTATCTTTTATCTATTGACCCGAAGATAGGTTTCCTTGGCTAAAGTGGCTTATGCTAACGCTTCCTGGTAATCTTCAGCAATTTTTTGATCAATTGCAAGACCAAGGCTAGCCCAAATGCTGGATCCAGCCTTGATCTGTGCTGCCTTGACCTGGTTTACCCGATACTTTCCCTGGTCAAGCCTAGTCAAATCTGACTTTGCATCATGAAGAAAAAAAGCCTGTTTATTACCAAATTTTACCCTCACCTCTCCTCTCCACACAATATGCTCACATCAGCGAGATGAGAGTTGTTGAAATATTTCGCGAAATCGTTCATCGACTCCCGGTCATCCCCAAAACAGTCTTGGCCTGAATTCGCATAAATTTTATCTATTAAAGTCTTTAAAAATTATCTTTTTAGCTTTTTTTTGGTTTCTTAAATACCTTGTGGCTCGTGTGCGACGAGGGGCAACCGATTTTTCACCGACGCAGCGGTGGCGCTCATTATTGAGAAATTGTTTAGACTGTCATACAAAATATTGGGAAATTCAAGCTTTCAAATAATTTTGCAGCTCTAGATGAATCTGAAATGAATCTAACTTTAAATAGGAAAATAGTTTCGTGTACTTTGCGCCTCAAATCGGTAACACGCCGGCTCAATTTGTCAAATTTTTTTTGTCAAACACTGGTGACATAGAAAAAGGAAGATTCTAGTGCACCAGAAAGGGTGCGTTTCCGATTTTTGCCCGCACAAAGTACGCTCACAATCAGCAAATAAGTCGAATGGGGTTAAAAATAAGAAAAGAAAAGATTTCACAATCACTCAACAAATAATAAATTTTAAATATTTGCAATTTTTTAAAGCCGATACATATCAAATTTTGCAACACCGCAGCACAAAAAATTCCCGATTTTGACCGTTTTTTGTGAGTAGAAAGAGAAAAACCCGAAAAAAAATCGAAAAGGGATTGATCACTTTGCGCGGCTAAGCGTAAATGCAAACATATATGTAGAGAAAAATACACATAAAAAAAGTAAAAAGAAAAAAGAAAGAGTAAGTGAGTAGTTTTTGAAATTTTGAAAGTAAAACTGGAAGAAGTTGAGTTTCTTTTCGTTCTCAAATGAGTAATAAAAGCTCCGGGAGCCCTCCGTTTTCACAAATTTTCATGAAATGCAAGGAATTCTTTGAAAATCGTTAGAGCAATTGGTGCTTGCGGCTTTTCTGCACGCAATTTCACATACAACTCGATCAACATATTAAAGCGCATGGATTAAAACCCCAAGAACTTGGTTCGTTCTCATGACTCTGATCTACGCAATTTTACATTTATCAAAAATGTAAACTGCAAGTTCAAAGATGTAATTTGTGCACAAAGCAGTGCGCCAAGCTAAGGTGAGCTTTGGGATCAAAACCCAGACCATTCGATGCAGAATCTCACGCTGATTCCGAATCTGCTTTCCGTTTTGGCTCTCTATCAAAAGTTAAAAACATTTTAAATTTGTACCCAAAAAATGAAATTTTTTTATTTTTATAAACCAAATTTAAGTCTTGAAATATCAAAATAAAAAGAAAAACAAAGGATGGAATTGAACCCAAGCAAAGAAATGAAGAAACTGTTTCGTATAAAAGCCCTCTACCCACTGTGCTGCCAGTCCACGTTTGGCTGTCACTGAAGAAGCCTTATGAAGGAATCACAGCCAAGAAAATTTCATTTTTTAGCTACAAATTTAAAATGTTTGTAACTTTTGATAGAGAGCCATTTTGCAAAAACGAAAAACAGATTCGGAATCTCGGTGAAATTCTGCATCGAATGGTCTGGGTTTTTGATTCAAAAGATCACCTTTACTTGGTGCACTTCCCTTGTAAGTGTTTTGATATAAAGGCAAAGGGCTTTATATCTAAACAGTGATGTTGAAAACTTGAAAGCTGCTTCCAATACCTCAAAAAGTTTAAATGTTGAAGATTGGTGATCCATTCTCAAATTTTAACTTTTCAAAATATTGCTAAAATCAAGAATGTAGGTGTGGTACATGAGAGGGAAAACAAATGTGGAGAAAAGCCCATCAAGTAGGAGTTTTTCAAGAAAAAAAGAAAAAAGATGAAGGAGGGGAAAGATCGAATAAGTGAATGAAAGGGAATTGAATGAAAAGAAATGAAAGAAAAGTTTGGGTAAAATTCGGGGGAAAAGGCGAGGAAAGGGGGGAGTGAAAGAGTCAAGGTACTGAAGGAAGGAAACAGTGCTCCTTTTCACTTGTCGAACCTCCGGTTCATGGCCATTCTCCCCGCAAAAAGATACTCAAATTTGAAATTTGAAATGGAGAATTTCTCCTTTGAGCTAATGTCAATCTTTTTGAAGATCGAAAAGTCTACTTGTTCAATGTTCAAAATTGCAGTTGCATAAAATATACTACCGGCATATTGTATCTAAATCTAGCTGTAGATCTAGATTATAAAGTCATGCGCAAAGCTGTTTCGAAAAGTCAAAAGAATGCCAACAATTGGCATGGGCGAGGGGCAACTAGTAAAGTTCATGCTCAGTTACCTTTAACTTTTTCTAGAAGTTGCGATCCACTTTTTTAATTTACTTGCTAATTTGTGCGCATCCTACCTATAAGCGTAAGATAGATTATAAAAATAAACCGAAAAAAAGATTAAAAAACCCTCCCACAAACTGTTAAAAGCTATCCTACCTCGCGTAAATCTATCTAACGCTTAAACATAGCACGCGCACAAATCAGCAAGTAAAGCAAAAAAGTGGAGCGCAACTTCTAAAAAATTACACGTATTTACACCGTAGTAATTTTTTAGAAAAACTGAAAGGTAACTGATCATGAATTTTACTAGTTGTCTGAGCAAGGTAACGAACATCCTAACATCTCAACTAGCCACATAGTAACGAACATCCTAACTTATGATTTCTGGGTGAAATTCTAAAGAATCAAATAAAGGATTGGCGGATGGATGTCTGAGAAGATGGACGGCTGCAATGAAGGGAGAAGGAGAGGAGGCAGGTGTCAAAAATTGGTTCACCCCCTCCTCGCCCAGTCCTCCCAGAGCACGCAATCCCATTTTGAGTGGGAAATTCGAAAGCTCTTCACCAATCTTCTGTTTTTTAAAACTATTCTACTTGAATCACAGGTTTTTCCAAAGAAAAACCTTGTTTTGGGCACCTTATCTCTTTCGTTTTTCATTTTTAGGGTGACACGGTTCGGCGGCGATTTTCACATAAAATTTTTGAGAAAACCGCGAGGTCACGAAATGCGTTACAGTTATAACTTATAATAAATGGCTTTAAAACCTACGTAACGATAAAAAGTACATATCAGATTTAAATACTATACCTCCCGAATGAACCGAGTCAATCATCAGCCGGTATTGCTCCCAATCGGTCATCACTTTGTGCCTTGTGGGCTCGGGGAACACCTGGAAAAAATGGATTTTGATTTGGTTTTAAAACTTTAAAGCAAAAAATAATCAACAATTCAATCAGAGAAAAAGAGAAAACCTTGAATATGATGAGAAAAAGAGGAGGTGTGGAACAAATCGCATCAACTCTGATCGGTGAAGAGGGGAAAAGCTTAGTTTCACTCGCAAACCTTTTTCTTGATATTGTTATAAGAAAAATATCTCAATAAGTGCTCGTAGTTCAGCTTAGTAACACTTGCGCTTTCAAGGATTTTGGGTGAAACCTAGGCTAACAATAAGTTTGAGTAGAAAAGAAAGAAAAAGAAATGGGTTTAGAAAATCCCCCTGCAAATCATAGTGCGTCAAAAAACCTTCACAATAATAAAAATTGGCAGTTTTCTTTCTTCGAATCAAATTCTACTTGTAGAGAAATTTTCGAGTGAATATGGAAAAAGAGAACAATAAATGGAGTCGATCAGAAAATATTCTGACCTTGAACACGAGCAAAAATGAAAAATAGCATTAAATTGTAAAAAAAAGGCAACACTCAGCATGGGAATTTTTGCGCGATCATAAAAAGGATCAATTTTGGATTGAGAATGTAATTTTGAATTAGTTGACCCTAAAAAAGAAGAAAAAGTTACAAATGCTCGAGACATTATTAGTCATTTTACGTTGAAAAAGGATGATAAAGCTTTTTTTGAGAGAATATTTGTCGAGCGTGAGTAAATCTTTGATCAAAACGGGGCATAGAGCTTAAAAAGCGTAGATTTAAAGCAACAAATAAAATTAAAACATAAAAATGCTAAAAACAATATAATTTGAAATGAAATTACTTCTAAAAACTGTTGTCAAATTTGGATTCAGCTTAGCGCAAATACTGGTAAAACCTAACTATAAACTAAAACCGATAAAATAGCCTTTTGTCGGTTTTAGTTTGGGGCAAGGCTAATTTCCGCAACTCGTCATTTCTTTTCTTTCTTCTAAGTCGGCCAATCTTTATAATTTTGGTGTCATTTTGTTGCACTTATTGAGATCCACAAAATGAAACCAAAATTATAAAGATTGGTCCACTTAGAAGAAAGTTATGGCGATTTGCGCAAAAAAAAATTGCAGAGATTAGCCTACCCCTTAGTTTATTTGCAACTGATACTCAAAAATCCGGAGAAAATATGCACATTTCCATAAGGAGCAGGCTTGTAAGTGGAAAAAAAGGCGGAAATTTTATTTTTTTGATTTTGAAAGCAAAATCGAACGAATGGGGCAGCTACGCACTGCGGAGGAAAAAGTGGAAAAAAATTTCCGGCCAAAAGCGTGGGGGTGGGACAAATGCGACCTTTTTTTGCGCACCTGGACATTTGCGCACCTTTTTTTTGCTGGAAAAGGCCTTAGGAAAGGTCGTAGAGCTTCAAAAATGTTTTCATAGAAGGGAATCGTATGCGTAGATTCCGAATTTCGACAAATCAGACCTCGCTGACACGTCAAATTTGGGCTAAAAGGCAAAAACTACGCAATTTAACGCTTTTCCGCAGTTTTTGCCTTTTAGCCCAAATTTGACGTGTCAGCGAGGTCTGATTTGTCGAAATTCTGAATCTACGCATACGATTCCCCTCTATGAAAACATTTTTGAAGCTCTACGACCTCTCCTAAGGCCTTTTCCAGCAAAAAAAAGATGCGCAAATGCCCAGGTGCGCAAAAAAAAGGTCGCATTTGTCCCACCCCTCTGAAAGTTTAATTTTTGCAAGAATTTCACAAATTTGAAGATTTTTATTATTAACAACAAAAATATTTTTACTTCAAAGTAAAGATATGATAAATTTTCTACAACAATTTGAAAGTGTGAACCCAGATCGAGACCTTAGTCGAATCTAGCTTCAAACCTCTAGATTCAAATCTAGACAAGGAAATCAATCAATAACAGCTAAAAATTTTGATAGAATTGGGCACATTTTCGCAAGTTTTAAACCGTTTTATGCAAATCGTGATTGACGCATTTCGAAAGAGGGAAAGACTTTTGAAAAATCAACCGTCGATTCCCAAAATTCACTCACCTTTTCAATATTTTCAAGTTACGAAATGCTAACCAAATGACTCAATTT